CCACCACTCACTCCCGCGGACACGGGGACCGCAGCCTCGGTGGCCGCCGCGACCCCGCCACTTACGCGGACCGCGGAGCCGCGCGCCGGCAGTTCGCAGGGCCGCAGCCATGTTTGTGCCGGCTGGAAGCATTTCCGGGGCAGCCTCGGCCGAGAACCCGGGATCCTCCTGCGGCGGCGCCCTCCCGGTCAGTGGGCTGAACCCGGTCAGCGCTCCCCACCGCGTCCCGGGCCTTATCACGCGTGGGCACGCCCACACCCTCGCCGCGAGCCCGCCCATTTGCTGTCGAGGCGGGGTGGGGCGGGACCCGAGAAGACACGCCCCCCGCGGGGAGCCAGCTCATTCGCTGCCGGGGCATGGGCGGGGCTTCAGGGGTAGAACCAGGCAGGGACAGCCATTCTCTGAGAATCTGGGCTTCCGGCTCCGTCCTCTGCCTGAGCCTAAGACCTTGGGCAGAGCCAGTGGCCGGCTCCCAAACCGAAGGTTGGGGTGCAAAAGTCCTGCCTTCTGGTTTTATGTGCCAATCTGGGCAAGGTAGGAACAGCAACCATGAGTCAGCAACTTTCTAGACATTTCCATTTCAATTACTTACAGGTGAACATGCTTTTATTTCTCCAGTCTGCAGCTGTGCACTGTTTTTGTTTCCAGACACTTACATCATTATTGCATTTCTCTTGCAGCTCCTCTCTGTAGCAGTTTGATAAGCGAGACCACAAAACAAACTAGAAGTGAAGGAAGCCCAGTGCAAGGCACGATACAGGCCTGTAATCCTAGCCACTCAGGGGGCTGAGATACGAGAATCATGGTTTGAAGCCAGCCCAGGCAGACAAATCTCCGATACTTATCTCCAGTTAACCAGCAAAAAGCATGAAGTGGAGTTGTGGCTCAAGTGATAGAGCACTAGACCTTGATTGAAAAGGCTAAGTCAAGGCCGACTACCAGCCCTCCAACTCCAAAAAGAAAAATGAAGATTAGGCTGGCAGATAACTTTCTTGAAGGGAGTAGTAATATGTGTCATGATTATTTCTGTCCACTTTCTCAATTTAGCAACCCTGTCCCCAAACTTGCACACAGAGGCAGCTGAGAACAAGCACACCACAAATGTCACCAGTTATAGCCATTCCTACACGACTATACCACTGCCAGCGCATCCTGTCCATATATGTCCAAAACATTGTAGATTGTAAAACCAGCCCTTGGTACAGAAAGATCTTAGGCATCATTCATTCTTGAAGTAATAATAAGCACCTACTATGTACACTGGAAAAAAGCAATGAACAGACCATCCAGGGGCTTATATAAGGTTTGGGGAGAGAGAGAAAAAAACAATCAGGACATGCATGACTTGCATTAGGAAGAATGAAGCAAGGTAGGGTAGGTGAGCCTGGGCATTATAATTTTAAACATGAACCAGAGACATGTGCATTGATGTTTGGGCTAAGGCCTGAAGGAAATAGGGAAGCCATCTATAAAACATTCAGGGAAGATGAAGCCTAGATCACACTGAAAACCTGTTTTCTGTAGCTAAAATATATGTTCTTGAAATAGTTTACTTATTAAAAATAATCCTATGTCACAGGCAACATGTGGCTCATCACGGAACTTCTTGTTCTCATTGAGCCTTGGGCTCTATGAGTTCCCACTCAAAATCCTACCTCTATAAATGAAGTAATGCCTTATTCACATAGGGCATAGCGAATCATACTTCTGTGCTTGTACCCAGTGGAGAAACCATGTCCTTGGAGTAGGAGGGAATTAAAGCATGAAGTGCACTTCCCTGGGGACTTCAATGAACTCTCTTACCCGTCTCTACATAGCCTATACTCTCTTTTCATTTTCAATAAACTTGCTTCTTTACTATTAAAAAAAATGAAGAAGTTAAGCACTGGTGGCTCATGCTACTCAGGAGGCTGAGATCTGAGGATCACGGTTTGAAGCCAGTCTGTACAGGAAAAGTCTGTGAAACTCTTTTCTATCTAAAGCCAAAACTCATTTTTTTCTAAATAAACTACTTAAAAAGGCTATATAGTCCACACTCAGAAATGCTGTGCAGAATGAAGAATAGACAAGAGCAGAGAATGAGGAAAGGCTCAGGGGGGTTAAGATGTCTTGATCTATGTGAATCTTTATTATCACCTTCAGGCGGCCCTGGGTAGGACACTCCTCTATCCTGGGAGCTAAGGCCCCACCTGCCAGACAGAGATAACCGGGGTGTCTGGCCTCTCCCAGGGGGAGTGCTGATGATTAGTGACAAAGCAGAAAAGTGCTGATCTCACAAAAACAACTGCAAGAACAGGTTAAACTTGCATCTGACCAGAGAAAGAAAGATATTAACAAATATGCTAGCAATATAATAATAATAATAGCAAATATACTAGCATGTTATATGAATTAACAAGTTTCACTCATTTTGTTTACATTTTATTGACTTTAAAACTCAAAATTCTGGGGCTGGGAATATGGCTTAGTGGTAGAGTGCTTGCCTAACATGCATGAAGCCCTGGGTTCAATTCCTCAATACCACATAAACAGAAAAAAAAAGCCGGAAGTGGCACTGTGGCTCAAGTGGTAGAGTGCTAGCCTTGAGCAAAAAAAAAAAGCTCAGGGGCAGTGTCCACACCCTGAGTTCAAGCACCAGGACTGGCCAAAAACAAGAAACAAAGAAAAGTAAAAGTTGGGCGCCGGTAGCCCATGCCTGTATTTCTAGCTACTCAGGAGAGATCTGAGGATCACTGTTCAAAGCCAGCCCGAGCAGGAAAGTCTGTGAGACTCTTATCTCCAATAAACCACTAGAAAACTGGAAGTGATGCTGTGGCTCAAGGAGTAGAGTACTTGCCTTGAGCTGAAGAGCTGAAGGACAGTTCCAGGTCCAGCGTCCAGGTTCAAGCCCCATGACTGACAAAAAAAAGTCAACCTCAAAATTCTTGTTTAAGCCTTCCTGATACAGGTATTATGAACCCATCCATTATAACTGACAGAGTACCATATATCCAACAGAGTACCATAATCATTACACCTAATCTAATAACCTGTGTGTGTGTGCTGTTCCTGGGCCTTAAACTCAGGGCCTGGGCACTATCCCTGAGCTTGTGCTCAAAGCTTTCTACCACTTGACCACAGGTCCACTTCCTGCTTTTTGGTGATCACTTGGAAAAAGGAGTTTCATGGACTTTGCTGCTCTGGCTAACTTTGAACTATGATCCTCAGATCTCCGCTTTCTGAATGGCTAGGATTTATACACATGAGCTACCAGTGCCCAGCTCTATGACTTCCTTCTTACAAACATAAAATACAACAGCTGTCCCATGAGAAATGAAAACAAATAAAATACACTTTGTACAAGTAAGTCCTTTTGAAAACTGGGAGAAAACACAGCTCTTAATTCAGAAATTGTAAACTCTGAATGCAGGTTCACTAAGAAAACTGGGAAGAACTCTAGAAAGGCTGGAGAAATTGCAGAACTATGTGGGAATTACACCCACCCCCTCCTTCCCCCCCCCACAAAAAGAGAATGTGCATTTTTTTCCAGTTTACACATTTTGCACATAATTATATACCAATTCAATTAGCAAACACAAGGCTAAAAGACAGTCTCTGGACTGAGATAAGAGGCACCACTGCCACAAGGGAGAGGGTTTTTCTGAGCCTGGGTGACTTAATTAGTGAATAAAGCACTTGCCTGTCACAGACAACACTGAGTTCAGCCTGTGATTCTAAATAAAATGAATTTGTTGGTTTCAGCTCAATGCTTCAGGGAAGGGGGGAAGCAGAATCCCCCAATTCATTATTTGCCATGATTGACACTTCTGAGCTACACAAACTAAATTTAGATTTACTCTGTCTCCTTAATCAGAAGAAGAATGGGGAAAAGGGATTCAGTGCAAGAGAAAACAGTGGCTGCGTGTGACAAATGGTAAGCTGTAATGATTACTCAGAGAAATCTGATCGATTGCCCCCACCATCGTGTGGAGAGTCACTCTGTCCGGCACGTGGCAGGCACTGGGCCTGAGTGGCAATGAGCTGGACAGTCTATCTTCATGGAACTGACATTCTAGCAGGAAGGCAGGCGATCTTCTTATGTAAAAGTATACACAGTATAATTACCAGGTGTGGCTAGACACCAAGAAGCAAGCCATGGCCTAAGCTGCTGGTGTTTGTAGCCCACTTAGATGCCATCCCTTTACCAAGGAAAAGAGATGGCAGGAATGCTTAGGAATAAGGAAGTTGGTCTGGAGAAGGGCTTTGTGAATAGATAGACCAGAAAATGCTGGGGCATATTTGATGTTTTTGTTTTGTTAGGAGGGCTGTAACAATTGATCACAAACTAGGAAGGTTAATTTTTTTGGTACTTCTGAAGGTTAGAAACCCCAAACCAAATGATCACCAGGCCACGCACCCTCTGAAACCCATAGAAGCTCTGCTCATGTCTTTCTGGATTCTGGTGGTGGCTGGTGACCCGCGGCTCTCCCAGTCCTGTCTCTGCCTGTTATCATACAGCTACCTCCACTTATAAGGACACAGTCATATTGGATGCAAGGCCAACCTGCACCATCATCTTGATTACATCTGTAGTAAATACCTCCTTCCTTAGTTTTATACAGAGATCAGGGATCAGGATGGCAACATCTTTTAGAACACACTTCTAACCTGTAACAAGCTGGCAGAATGGGGAGGGAGATTGGTAGGAGGCCATGTGGCCCAAGCACAGTGAGTGGGGTAAGATGTGGTGAAACCACTGTCTGTGGACAGAGTATATTTTGAGTGGCCTTCCTCCGTCAGAGGGATATGCCCTGCGTTTTGAAGGTCCCCTCTGTGGTGTAGAAAGGGTGGCACATGGAAGCTCCTGGGCTAGCATTAGGAAAGGTTCTACATGAACAAGTACATTGTGTATTACCTCCCTCCCATTTCCCTTCGGCACCAGAGCTCAAATTCAGGGCCATGATATACTAGGTAATTCTATCACTGGTCTCCATTTCCAGACCATTTGTTTTTGTTTGTTTTGGCAATAGTGTACTGCTCCAGTACCAAACTCAGGGTTTTATCCTTGTCAAGCAGGTGTTCTAACACTTGAGCCACACCTCCAGTTCTGCTTTGTGTGTTTTGGAAATGAAGTGTAATGAACTTTTCTATATGTTCTACTGGCCTTGAGCCAGAACTCAGCTTCTGGAATAGCTAGGATTAATGGTATGACTAGTGCCCAGCTTCTGGTTATTTTTGAGATCATATAAAGTAACAGATTCCCGTGTCCCGTCTCTCACCTCCCCCCCACAGTCCCTGTCCCCAAGACTCTATATAGCTGAGTGGTGGAAAGGTCCTTATAGAACTTTCTGGTTTGTCTCTGCCAGGACCCAGGGATCTCCCTGTTCTTTGACAGGTTGGTGTTGAGTTTTGTAATCCTGCAAAAACTGCACAACTGAGGCTGGTGTGGATGACTCACACCTATAATCCTAGCTACTCAGGAGGCTGAGATATGAGGATTGCAGCTAGAAGCCAGTCCAGGCTGGTAAGTCAGTGAGACCTCTCCAATTGACCACCAATATGTTGTGGTCAAGTGGTAGAGTGCTCGTATCAAACACAAAAGGTAGAGGCCAGGTCCTGAGTTCAAGGGCCCAGGGCACTTGAGTGCATGTGCATACACATACACACACACACATACACACAAATTCACAATCAAGTGAGTCACTTCTATCAAGCTCTGGGCAGATAGCAACCTTCCTTATCCTCCTGTGTTTCTTCTCACAAGACCATGTATTTGTGCTCCATTCACATAGATGTCTGGGGTCCTATTAGCAATCTTTTTGATTTGTGATTCAGCTAAGATAACCAGAAATTTTTTTGGCAGGTCCTGGGTCTTGATCTCAAGGCCTAGCTCTGTCTCTGAGCTTCTTTTTCTCAAAGCTAGCCTTCTACCACTTGAGCCACTTCTGGCTTTGTTGGTGATTAATTGGTTATGAGTCTCACCTGGGTTGCCTTGAAACCAATCCTCTGATCTTAGCCACCTGAGTAGAAAGGATTACAGGCAGTAAGACACAAGAGGAGATAACTGTCACTTAAGAGCTTAAGGCAAACCTTAAGCCCCTAGTATTGGCACAAAAGAAAAAAAGATATGAGCCAAATAGGCCTCGAGTTCTCCTTTCCAACTGTCATTTCACTTTAATTGCAAAACAGAATAAAAACCTAACATGTTAAAAACATGCCAAAAATGAGTACAAAAAATTAGTAAGGACCCAAAATTCTTTTTCTTTTTCAGTTGGTCATGGGGTTTGAACTCAGAATCTGTGCGCTATCCCTGAGCTTTTTCCTAAAGGTTAGCGCTCTACCACTTTGAGCCACAGCACCACTTCCAGTTTTCTGCTTGTTAATTGGAGATTAGTCTCTCAGACTTTTCTGCACTGGCTGGCTTTGAATCATGATCCTCAGTTCTCAGCCTCTTGAGTAGCTAGGATTACAGGTGTGAGCCACCAGTACCCAACCCCAAAATCTAATTTTAATATATTTCCTTTCAGTTGAATGTGGCATACATGTGTAATGCTAGTACTTAAGTGGTAGAGAAAGATCCAAAGTGTGAGGCCAGCCTAGACTACACAGTAGTAGTCTAATAGGAAAAGAAATGTACTCATTTCCAACATCTAATTGTAACTCCTCGGTATATCACCTTTATAGTAACAATTTTTTTAAAAAATAATTTTGTTTCATCACCCTGTGACTTCAGTGATATCTACTAAATTTAGTAGTACCTAATTTTACATACATACTCCATAAAGATTAAAAAAAGCTTGTAAGATATGAACTAATATGAGATAGTTGATATACTCTGAGGAAACTGAAGCAGGACTTTTTTTTTTTTTGATGAGCGTTTATTTATTGATCGCCAGAAATAACAGGCTATTAGGTATACAAGACACATATTTGGTGAGAAGTGATGTGAATCTGCATGGAAGCTAATCCATAAAAGTTGAGAGTGTGGAAGGCAGAGTTGAGATAGGATCTAAAGCCATGGCTCAGACACCTACACGTTAAATTTCTAGCTGCAAAGTTTTTGGAGTGTATTCATTCTTAGGATCAGCAGGCAAGAGGAGAGCTCAGTCTATCTTAAATCAATGTTCAGAATAGTATAATCAATTACGGAAATACTCCTCCATCCAACTTATGCCCATTTCAAATTTTATGGCAATTCCATTTTTATAAACTCTTCCGTATCAATTCATATGCCTTAGTAATAAGCAAATATAAATTTAGCAAAGATTAGTAACTGATACAGAAGACTGTGGTGGTTAGATTTCAGAATCTCTTGCTGTACTGCACTCTTATACTAGCAGATTTTAATTCCATTTTCATTCCATTACCAATTTCCCTCCAAGATATTAGCTTTAACTCATTGATACAATAAAATGATACAAAGAATTCCAGTATTTAAATTACTAGAATATCTTAGACCATAATTAAAAATGTGTACTTATGCATGTTGTATCTGATACAATGATTATAATCTATAGTTGCTGAAATACATCCAGAACTAGTGCCATGTCACATACCTCCCCCTAAATCTTGTAAAGGTTATTTTTTCCTAAAACAGCATGTTACTTGATAAAGTGGACTATGGTTAATGGTAGTGGAAACAAAAACAGAAATGGTTATACCCCCAATGGGACAAACAAGGGACAATTTGATTTTAGCATTTTGGTTTCTTTCTTGAGAGGCAACCTGTTCCTTCCATGAGTTGTATTCTTTCCTTCGTGTCTCAGGAGGAAACGGTTATGGCTTACAGCGCTGGACAAATCGAGGATACAAGCATACGTCTCGGATGTGATACCTATTCAGAATCCAAGTTAGGAACCGTTCCAAGCCCAAGCCATATCCTCCATGAGGACAAGTACCGTATTTTCTCTGTTAAATAAGAAAGTAAATGCTTTGTTTAGAATTTTGTCTAAAAATGTTAATTTTTTGTACTGTGAAATGATTTAGTTCATTGTGGTTAAAAATTCACCCTGCTGCCAGGTGCAGTTGCTCATACCTGTAATTCTATCTACTAAAGAGACTGTGACCCAAGATCATGGTTCAAATCTACGAGACTCTATACAACTAACCAGCAAAAAAAGCACAAAAACAGAAAGAATTCAATCCATAATCTATATGCCTTCATAAACTACATATAAAGAAATCATTTGGTATGAAATTAACATAATTTTGTCAAAGACACAACTGGACTATTCATACCCTACATTATTACAACCATGAAATTAAATATAATTCACTCAAATACTGTTTTTTTACCTGATCTGTATACCAGTAGTAGGGAGTAGGATCAATTCCCTCCCGTTTGTAGCCTGCCAAAATCTCTTCACTGTCCCAGATACGCATAGAGCCTCCCACAATCTCGCCAACATTGGGCATCAACACATCCACCTGTAAATACAAGTTAAAAAACAAAACAAAGCACAATTACGAGCAGGCATAGCAGTATGGCACTGATGTGGGGCTTCAATGAAAATTATACTATAAACAACTGCCATTAAAGAAATGACTATGAGTGTGTAAAAGTCAAGCATTATTCAAGTTCTTTAACAAAGAATGTTAACTCCAGTCAGAGGAGGAAAACAAAAGCACTTCTTAAATTACTGTCATCTTAGATTTATCAAATATTTGTCATTAGCAGTATCATTCCAAATGACAGTTCCCACTCCCTTTAAAAGCAAAATTTCTAATACTCTGAATTATAAACTGACAGATTCAGTAAGGCGGGAATCCTCAGGACATCGTTGCATATAGAAGGACTTGATCTGCACAGGAAATCGACACAGCAAGATTGGTTCATTAATGGTGTCTGTCATCAGTCTCTCAGGAGCTTCAGGGATATCCTAAGTGTTAAAATAAGACTTCATTAACATTAAAACTAGAAGTAGTTTTTTTCCCCGTGCACCATTCCTTACTTGTTGTTAACTCAAAAGGATCTATACCTATTCATAACCCATGTATATATTTGTGCAAAATATAATTTCTTTCAATAATAAACATTTTATTAACACACACAGGTAAGATCTGCCTCCTGCTTCAATCTACCTCAAAAACTGTGCTGCATGAATGAAAACACACCAAGATCTCCAACCTGTGACTCAATTATTTTTGTTCATGGCCACATTTATCCAACTCTAATGTGAATGTGGTTCCCTTACTCTCATAGAGCAAAAGGTACATGCTCTATGACAACATTGATCTATATGCAGAGGTCGTTATTAACCACATTAATCTTCTTTTTCCTTGAACTCAGTGCCTTTCAATTTTACTTGGCTTCCTGTTCACAGCTAGCTGTGTTCTATTTTAGCCATGCCTCCAGCCCAGCTTTGGCTAGTCATTTGGAGATGGGAGTCTTGAGGACTTTTCTGCCTGGGCTGGCTGTGAACCATGATCCTGGTATCACCATCCTGAGTAAGTAAGATTACAGAAATGAACCACTAGCACTTAGCTGTTACAATAAATCAGCTATTTCTTCAATGGTAGACAGTCATAAGACAAGTAACTTAAGGTCAAGTTTTTAAGTGTGGCCACACATGAAATAGCCAGGAAATGTTAAGAGGAAGAAGCAAGTGACTCAGTTTCTCTCAAAACATCATTTATACATCAATCCATGTTAAAATTAAAAATTCTTGTCCCACTAAAAAATGGTTAAGAGAACTGAACAAGACTCATGGACTTGTGTAAGCTCTGCATTGGAGCTTAGTGATCATCTCGAAACAGCTATTTTCCACAAGGGTCCTGGAGCCCTATGCCTCTCTTTGGTTTCTTAACTTGTATGTGCCTTCCATACTGGGGTTCTGTGCACCATTAAGCTGGGGAAAGAAGGTCTTAGCTCACTCGGGAATGACAGCATGAGATGACAGCAATGTACAGTATATGCTGACACACATGGAAGGCTTCCTGTACCATGGACCCTGCTTGGCATCTAGCTCATTTAGTCCCAGTTGCCTTGTCAAGAAGAGGTCAGATACAAGGCAGAATGAGGAACCAAGAGTGGGAAAACTGACCCGCTGATTACACAGGTCAGGACGTTAAGTGGGAATTAGGTCCTCCTGGGGTTTGGGACACTGACTCCACAGCCTGTGTTGGTTCCACTCAATTGTACTATTTTTCTAAGCACTAGGTATTACCAAAGATTTCAGTTTCAAAGCTCAAGGTTTCAGTTCAAAATTGTGCTATTGTACACCATAAACTGAGCTCACAAAGCAGTAATTTATAGAGACCTTGGTATACATTCTTTCTAAAACCCAAAGCAAAACTCTAGTTAGCAGCAGCTACTCACATCTGACCTGAAAAACAAGTAGATTTGCAATTATTACATTAGGAATAAATGTGTACATGCACAGGTCTGGAGTAGTTAAGACAATCCACATCCCCGGGTACATGTTGCTTTCCAGACAAAACCAGTAAGCTGAGTTTATCTGGGTACCAGGGTCACCTTCCCCACCTTTCCTCTTGAGTTTGCATTTTCAATAGCCAATTTTGAGTCTCCTTTCAGAATTTCCATTTTGAATTTTTGTGCCAGTCCTGGGACTTGAACTCAGGACCTGGGTGCTGTCTCTCAGCTTCTTTTTGCTTAAGGCTGGCACTCTACCACTTGAGCCACAGTGCCACTTCCGGCCTTTTCTGAGTAGTTTATTGGAGATAAAAAGTCTCACAGACTTTCCTGCGCAGGCTGGCTTCTAACCACAATTTTTAGACTGTAGCCTTCTGAGTAACTAGGATTACTGGTGTTAGTCACCAGAGCCCAGCAGGAAGGATTTTTAAATCACTATTTTGGGGAAGTGAATCCCTTCAGAATACTTTTTCAGGAAAAACCAAACAACTACATATATATCCCAACAATCTGCATGTAATTTCAAAGGTTTCACAGCCAGCTAGGTACCCCATCAGCCTGGAGCTGAAGAATGAATGTGATAAGCAAATGAAGGCTAAAAACGTCAATGTTTGTGAGTCACCAGTGGAAAGGCACTGTTCCAAAGTTCATTCTACAATGAACCAGTGGACAACTCCAAGAAGCAGGTTCTGATATTATCATTTATTTGAGGACAAGCAATCAAGGGCAACAACCCACTAAAGCATACCACCACTTTAGGAATAATGATCAGAAAGGAATCCATACCTCTCCAAATTCATAGAAAGTCCCATCTTCTTTCGTTACGTTGTGTTCTTTCAGCCACACAATAGCATCTGAGTAGTTCATCCGTCTGAAAGGCCGTTTGGGGGGCATGAAGTTCTATAGTTAAGAAAAAAAAATCACTGTATTTATAAAGAAACCACCCACTCAAGTCTCCATTAATATCAACTTATCATTCTTTTTTGTTGTTGTTGTTGGTTGTAGGGCTTGAACTCTGGGCCTGGGCGCTGTCCCTGAGCTCTGCAGCTCAAGGCAAATGCTCTACCACTTGAGCCACAGGGCCACTTCTGGTTTTCTGGAGATCAGAGTCTCAAGGAGTTTCCTGCCAGGGCTGCTTTTGAACCATGACCCTCAGATCTTAGCCTCCTGAGTAACTAGGATTACAGGTATGAGCCACCAGCACCCAGTTTCAATTTATCATTCTTATAAGGTTATTTCAGATTAAAAAATAATGTGCATATTCCTAAAATTAAAAACATGTGACTATCTTATGTAAATTAAGATATTACAAAATTGCTGGCAATTTCTAGTATCAAATTTTAGTCTTCAAAATACTGGGCATTTGGACTGAGGGCATGGCTCAAGTGTAAGAGCACCTGCCTACCTAGTGTGAGGTCCCGAGTTCAAGCCCCAGTATTAACACACAGACTCCCCCCCGCCCCACCACCACTACTTCAGCTCACCAAGCCATCAAATCTATAAATACTTTAGTGTGATGACACCAATGTCCTTCAGAAAAGAGTTAGAATCCTTTTATTTCCATAGAACACTATATGAGCCCGGCACTGGTGGCTCACGCCTGTAATCCTAGCTATTGAGGAGGCTGACATCTGAGGATTGCGGTTCAAAGCCATCCTGGGCAGGAAAGTCCATGAAACTCTTATCTCCAATAAACCACCAGAAAACCAAAGTGGCACTGGGGCTCAAGTGGTAGAGCCTTGAGCTGAAGAGCTAAGGGACATCGCCCAGGCCCAGAGTTCAAACCCCACGACCGACAAAAAAAAAAAAAAGAAAAAAGAACACTATACGTACCGGGTTAAGCTCGTGCACTATGCTGGCTATTGGTGATTTCAGGACTCTATCTACCACATCACACACCAAGTCCTCCAATCGGTTGAGGAGGTCCTCAAATGTCAGGAAAGGGCACTCAGCTTCGACATGAGTGTACCTGAAGAACAAGACACTGGCTCATCATCACTCTCTTTTATACTGTTTCTCTTAAAGATGTGAGCATTGGGAAATTGCTGAAAAATAAAACTTTGAACATTTCTAATCAATTCTTAACACTGCAAATCAGTTTAAGATATCCCTCTCCCTCCTTGGGGAGTAACTTCTAGTTTATTCTTTAACACACAGGGACCAATGCAAAGTAAAAAAAAAAAAAGAGCTGTGGCCTCCAAGGCAAAATATAACATATTCCTCCACTATCCTATAAATATACCACATGTTTTTACACAAGCTTCATTTACCTATATAAAACTTTCTTCATTAAAGATACTGTTTAAAAATAAATAGAAGCATAAAAACAATTTCATACTCAGCCAGGTGCCTTCGTGTTCTGGACTGTTCTGCTCTGTATGACTGTGCAATACAAAACACATCTCCCAGGGCTGGAAGGCAAGTTTCCAGGTACAACTGAGAGGACTGGGTCAAAAATGCCTCTTCCCCAAAATAGTCAAGCTTGAAGAGTGTAGATCCGCCTTCTACCTGTGTCTGCACTAATGTTGGGGGAGTGACCTGTTCACAGGGAAGGAGGCAACAAGGTTCTGTGTGAGCATCATTCTGCTTGTTTACAAATAGCAAAGAAGTAATACTGCACAAAATGACTAACACACACTTACTTCACAGTACCCCCTGTCGAAGAAGTGATCCCTAAAGCACCTGGTAATCACAGACCGTGCTTTTAGGATTTTTGACACATTTTCTCCTCGAATCAACATGTGTCTGTTGTTGAGCTGCACGTCAACATCAGACTCTTCATTGATCAAGTTATCAGCTCCTCCAGCAGGAGCCAGCCCCACCAGTTCCCAGAAGTCACAACTCAGCTCGTGGCCGCCAGGAGCCTACATTTAAAAAAGTAGAGTGGAGAAACAGAGGGAGGCAGAGAGAAATCAAAATTTATACGATTGAAGACTTAGGTCCAAATTTTTGGTAACCTGTTACTTTGGAGAACTTCATCAAAGACCCAATAATTCATCTTTATAATCAATATTTTAGCATCCAATAGTTCAGAGTAAATATAAAAACTAGAAACAAACTAGAAAAGCACAAACTAGAAAATCAACAGTAAACCATGGCCTGTAGTAACTAATATTAATATTTTATTTTCTAGCCTTTGCCTAATGTTTTAACACATTTATCCACACAGAAAAAGTTAAATGCAAAGGGTTTGTTTAAAGTAGGTATTCTTCGGTGTGTGTATATGTAGTAAAACTTCTAATTATCCCTAAATAATTCCATTAAAAGCAATTTATTTTAAAGCCACACATCTCTGGAGTACATAATTATCTTAATGCCAAAAACTGGACAGAAAGAAACATCATGACAGTCACTCCATTCTGAATCTCGTAATTTCAAGGGACACACAGTGAACTCAAATGAGACACTTATTCTTATCAAGGCTTTTACATAATCTGAGAGCCTGCTTATCACATATCTAGTCAGCGAGGACTGTTTGCTCCCTCTAGTGGTAAGCAAATTACACTTTTTTTTAACCACGGCAATTATTTGAGGTCTCATTACCAACAGATAACTCTAACAGGAAGATTAGGTTATGTTTATGTGCCTTTGGCTAAGGAACAAATGGCTCTAAATACCACTTAGGTTTAACTTTTTAAAAAAGAGGCTTTCAGTCATGTTAAGTGGTAAGTCAAGCTGAGAGAGACAAACAGCTCATGTTTTCTCTGCAGAAACTAGCTCTAAAATAGGTATGTTAAATTATATAGGACTCTAGGTATTCACATACAGTAAGACCAAAAGAAAATACCCTTAGAGGAGGAATACAAAGGTGCATTGCCTATATGTTCTATATAAAATATTTATGGAAATGAAGTCCTGGAAAGACAAATGAGAGGTTTTTTGTTTTTTTTTTTTTGTCCTGATTGTTCATTTATCCGTCTTTGGCAGGGTAAAGGGGAGCACAGAAATAGAGGGACAAAGGGTGACCCAATGCAGCAGTGATACTCACTAGATGCTATGCTAAAATGAACTACACAACTGTGGGTGGGGATGAGAGGGAAAAACTGGGAGACAGCGAGGGAAGCAGGAACATTGTCCAAAAAGAAATGTACTCATTATCCAACTTGTGTAACTGTAACCCCTTTGTATGCCACTTTGATAATCACAATAAAAAAATAAAAATTAAAAAAGGAAAAATAAAAGACCCCCACTATCAAAAACACTGAGCAGTTCAAAGGTTGTATAGAAAAAAAAAAACTGGAGTTTTTTCATTTAAAAAAAAGGCATCCAAATTCTGTTCAGAGTTTTCTTAAAATTTTTGAGATTTTTAACCTGCACACAAAATTATTCATAGACCCTCAGCAAAATGGCCACATTATCAGTTATGAAGCTCATGTAGGAATTGTGTAAGGCTGGAAATCCCTCCCTTGATCTTGGGCTACCCAGCCCTCTAAATCTACAAAATCCACTTATAGACAATGAAAAGGGAAAGGAACACTACATTAACCAGTACCTCAGACCCAACAACCGTACAAATGAAGACACTGCAGAGCAGAGCATTAAATACATATTCATTCACCAGTGAGGAGGTCAATCTACTTACCTGTTTGCCCTTTGGAGTAAGCTTTAACATCCCATATACTGCTACACTACTCTCCGTGGACAGGACTACTCCATTGTAACACTGACACTATAAAAAAAAATAAATCCAAGTTCAAATTACCTGACTTATGTTGATGCAAAAGTGTTCTCACATATATAATACAGGAATTATTATTATTTTTTGTTGTTGTTGCTTGTGGAGCTTGAACTCTGGGCCTGGGCACAGTCCCTCAGCTCTTCAGCTCAAGGCTCTACCACTTGAGCCACAGCACCACTTCTGATTTTCTGAGTAGTTTATTAGAGATAAGAGTCTCATGGTCTTTCCTGCCTTGATCTGCGACCCTCAGATCTCAGCCTCCTGAGCAGCTAGGATTACAGGCATGCGCCACCAGGCAATACAGGAAATATTTACAAAGTTCTCCGGTCAAATACCAATTTTTAAAAAAAGGAATGAGATTGCCACTGGTTATTAATATTAAAAATAGCTTTTAAACACACTTTTCATTTTTTGGAAGTACTGGGTTTTGAACTTAGGGCTTCCTGCTCAGTTGCCTTTTTTGTGGAAGACATCTGTCATGCAGTTATGTATCACATAATGCTTCTTTCTTCTCTTTTTGGGTGCCATTACTGGGGCTTGAACTCAGTGCTATCCTTTAACATTTTTACTCAAAACTGTTTCTCTACCATTTCAATATAGTTCCACTTGTGGCTTTCTGCTATTTAACTGGAGATAAGAGTATCACAGATTTGCTTGTTCAGGCTGGCTTCAAACTGGGATGCTCAGATCTTAGCCTTCTCAGATCATAGGCATGAATCAGAGGCACCCAGCTATTTTTAACAATGAATCATATATACAATGGTTGTCCCATAAGATTACATTGCCTAGGATCATCCACATGGCTGACTTAGTTTGTAAAAGTATGCCCTATGATGCTCACTTCAGCAAAGTTGCTTCCCAGTACATTTCTTTTTTTTTTTTTGGTCGGCCATGGGGCTTGAATTCTGGGCCTGGGCACTGTCCCTCAGCTCTTCAGCTCAAGGCGAGCGCTCTACCACTTGAGCTACAGCGCCACTTCCGGTTTTCTGGTGGTTTATTGGAGATAGGAGTCTCACGGTCTCTCCTGCCCGGGCTGGCTTTGAACCGTGATCCTCAGATCTCAGCCTCCTGAGTAGCTAGGATTACAGGTGTGAGCCACCAGCACCTGGCCCCAGTACATTTCTAAGAAATGAAAGCCACACAGGAAAGTAACATGATTACAGGAAGACATCCACGTATATGTAAGTGCCCACTTTGCATACATAATGTATAAATACTACTAGTCCTCATCACTTTAAAATATCCAGTTTATTTTGTTTTGTTTTTCCCAAATTTCTTGTCACACAGTAGAGTTTATCTACATTGTGATAACCAATACATGTGAAAGTCAATAAGAGCACTGGCAGGATAAGACCATGAAACACCCAAACACCCAAACACCCAAACCCACTACCCACTAACCACCTTGTATCCTGATGGGATACAGGGTGGAAGAACTCAGGTCTGCACAGTAAGCAGTCATGTCAAAAATAATCAAACAAGGCCTGGGAATGTAGCTTAGTGATAGAATGTTCGCTTAGTATGCATGAAGCCCTGGATTCGATTCTTCGGTACCACATAACTAGAAAAAGCCAGAAGCAGCGCTGGGGCTCAAATGGCAGAGTGCTATCCTTGAGCAAAAGATGCTCAGGAACAGTGCCACGTCCTAGTTCAAGTCCCAGGACTGGCAAAAAAAAATTTTTTTTTGTCAGTCATGGGGCCTGAACTCTGGTCCTGGGCTCTCTCCTTCAGCTCCAGCTCAAGGCTAGCGTTCTACCACTTGAGCCACAGCTCCACTTCCAGCTTTTTCTGTTTATGTGGTACTGAGGAATTGAACCCAGGGCCTCATGCTTGCGAGGCAAACCTTCTACCACAGAGCCACCTTCCCAGCCCCCGGCCTTTTCTATTTATATGGTACTGAGGAATCGAACCCAGGGCTTCATGAATGCTAGGCAAGGACTCTCTACCACTAAGCCACATTTCCTGCCCTGGTAATGCTTTTCATACTGTTCTACTTCAGGATTTGGAAAATTGCCATAGCAAAAGCTTCCTCCCTGGCTATAAGATCTAATTAGCATTTTAAAAATATTTATGATAACTGGACAATCAATGACACTCTCTAATAAACTACTCAGAAGAGGCTGGAAGTGGCACTGTGGTTCAAGTGGTACAGTGCTAGCCTTGAGCAAAACGAAGCTCAGGGAAAGCACCCAGGCTGTGAATTCAAGCCTCACAACCAAAAATAAAAATAAAAAAATATGATATACACCATATTTTTCATTTATGTACTGATAATGGATATAAAGTATAACACATATAAATCCTAAATTCTCCAAACAGAGGATCCCACTTGGGGAGTGGGGGGAGAAATCCCTAATTTTCAGCCATACATAATAGAAAATATTTACCAAGTCATCTGATAAGACACACTGAAGGTAACCTGTACCATCCCGTAACACCAGAAACATTAAGTTCTTTCCTAAAAAGAGAAATAGAAATTAAGTTAGTACAGAGTATTTTGTCATAATTAGATGTCAAGGTAACTCTAAGGTTGAACAAAGAAGTTCAAATCTCTGAGCCCCTACCCAAAGTGCCTTCTGGTAACACTGTTATACGGTCTTAGTAAAACATTTTATTTACACTGGAGTGTACTTTCAATTCTTATGTAATGCTCATGATACACAGGATATGAGACAAGACAGGAACGAGCTGTTCCTTTCTGAGTTCCTGTTATGCCTGGAATAGTGCTGGACACGAAGAGATGCATGAGTACTGTTTGTTAAAGAGAACTATTCTTAAAACAAAACAAAACTGGTTCTGTTACTGAGGCTTTAACTCAGGGTCTCAACCTATTGTTTGGCTTTTTTCACTCAGGAAGTGCTCTCCTACTTGACCTATACTTCTGGAATTTTGCTGGTTAATTATAGATAAAGCATCTCATGGACTTTTCTCCTGGGCTGGCTTCAAACCAGATCTCAGCCTCCTGAGTAGCTAGGATTACTGGTATAAGTCACCAGAACTGGTGGCTTTTTAATTTACATCTTGCTTCTTTTTATCAGATTGGAAAAATCACTTAAAGTGAAAAACATGTTATAAACTGAAAAAAAATGAGAAAAAAACTGGCCAACTTTTCGGTTAGAATCTGACCTTCCTATAACATAAGACCTGCTTATTAAATAATTAAAATTCAACTTGACAAATCATACCACTATGGTATTTAAGTAATTTTTAGGCTTTCAAAAGTCCTATTAGATAAGATTAAGTTTAGGACATAAATCACATCATAAAAAAGCATCTCCCAAACCAAGTCCAAGTAAATGTTTTTAGGTTCATTTTTATCTATGACCAAGGTTTTTTAAAATAAAGGGAGAAAGAAAAGTATACTCTTTACCTTGTCTTCGCAGCCTGTGAACCCAGCCAAACACCTTGACTCTCTGCCCTCTATAGGCTTCTAGTGCATTAATTTTCACCTGTCAAGTCAAAATAAGTAATATGTATAACCGCACCACTTTATCACATACCAGTATTTTCACTAATATTAGATGGACAATAGTGAAGTGTTCAGAAAAAAACACAAAATAGTGCAAAACTGGAGGCAGTCACTCTACTGCAGGTCAGCCAGAAATAAGCAGCATAGTGGCTAAAAAGAAAATTCAAATTTTCGTTTTCACTTAGTGCACAAACTGGCAGCAAGACACTCTCCGAAAATTTTCATATAGTCCTATACAAAATCATTTAATTTGTCCCAAATGAAGCACCTGCTCCCCATAGTAGCAAGAATCTTGCTCACAGAGCCTCTTCCGTTACCTTACCACACACTGACATTTGGAGCTAACTTGAAGTTTGAAAGGAGAAGGAGATACATAGAAATGAGTAGAAGGGAATGGTAACTATATAGTCCAGAAAACAAACCCCATCACTAAGGAAGTGGGAAAAATATGACATTCATCAGCAAAAACTAGGGAACTCAAACCACATTATACACAGTCGAGCGAAGTTTAGGTTCAAAGAAAAGAAGAAGGGAGGGAGAAAAGAATAGAGGAAAAGAGAAAGAAGAAAAGAGAGAAGGAGGGAAGGAAAGAGAAGAGAGGGAACCCAATTTTGCAGAATTTTATGATTTAAAAAATTAGAAAATCACCAAATGCTGGTGTGGCTGATGCCTCTAATCCTGGCAATGTAGGAGGCTGAAATCTAAGGATCAAGATCCAAAGCCAGCCAGTCAGGGCAAAAATCTAACTAGAAACATGGCTCAAGTGAGAGAGCACCAGCTGTGAGTGAAAAAGTCATAAGCCTTGAATTCAAAGCCTGGTACTAACACCAAAACAAACAAACAAATGACCTAAAGTGAAAATCATGGCATTTTCACCTTCATATTTTATGGCAGAGAAACTGATACTAGAGATTTTCACACAATGACACATAGCCTCCATAGACTCCCTGTCAGTCATCATCTGCTGAAGAACCAGCCTCATAATTCTAAAACATTCTTTCTATCCCTTCTAAAAAGAAAAAGAAAAAAAAGTAACAAACAATGCAGCATGAACCTCAAGCTCCAAAATAATAACTAGATGTACCTAAGGACCGGACACTGGGAAGTACAAACACACTTACACATTTTGGCTCTGGAAGACTCGGATCATTCTCGATGGTAATCTTCTTTGCTTCTTCCAGGTTCTTTTCTCTACGTAAATTATCTTCAGCCTAATTTTAATAATAAAACAATTGGTAAGACTGGTTTCTAGAGTTCTAACTTTAAAACTGTGCACAGCAACAGATTCATTCTTTCTTCACCTCTTTCTTGTCCCGGGATTCATTCTTCATTTGCTCTCTATGCCACATTTTTTTAATATTCTTCATCTGTGATTTAGAAATAACATCCCACCTCTAGAGAAAAAAACAAACAAGATACATAATTTTAGGTAGTGATGAAAATTCCCCATACCTAATTCTGGAGTCTTTGGTACTTACCTCATTTTCTTTCTGTGAATCAACATAGATGGTAGGAAATGGTTCTTTTCCCACTGTCATCAAAGCCTTGGACAGGAAGGAAAAAAAAAAAATCAAAACTTAACCACAGGTCCTATAACAATGCAGATGGGGCTGCAGTGTGCCATTTCCATACACAAGCAGAACAGAAGAGGTGGTTTTAAGTGTCTACAGGGATATAGGCAAACAACAGAGACAGCCAGCATCAAAAGCCAACCAGATGTCATCTAAAAAGTGTCTTGTATGAAATCAGGGAAATACGCTAAGACAGTTTTGAAATTCTTTCAATAAAATATATTGGCCAAGTATACAAAAGACTAAGCCCCATTTCATTAAAAAAAACAACATTAATGAGCCCATGCTGAAACACATTAGGTATTGCTGAATACTATATACCATAGAATAGTTTATGGGTTTTGAATGCATGCTTAAATGGTTGAATATAAAACAGCATTACCTTACTGCTTTAAGGAATTTTTTTTAAAAACTTCTCAATGTTATTAAGTCAAAAAAGAAAATGTAGCCAAGGGCCAGTGGCTCAGGCCTGTAATCCTAGCCTCTCACTCAGCAGGTTGAGATTTGAGGCTAATGGTTCAAAGCTAGCCTGGGGCAGAAAAGTCCTGAGACTCTCATCTCCAATTAACCACCACAAAGCCGGAAATGGAGCTGTTGGCTTAAGTGGTAGAGCACTCACTAGTTTTAAGGGGGAAAAAAAGAGTAAGGAAATGTAATGGATAATTCCTTCATTCGTATAGTATCACGTGCTACCTTGGCTTTTGTCTTGTTGGGCTCCCTACCAGCTGCACAGCTTCTACCTTTGAGGTGACAGATTTTCAACTGCCTGGCTTCATTCCTAAGTAAAAGGCTGAAGGACATAAAGTTATGAGAATCGTTCAGGGGGTAAAAACATCCAGGCCCATGACCAGGCAAGTTTTATACCAGCTAGTAAAAGTCTTAATCTCTGAATAAGCCTTAATGACACTCAAATTCGGATTTAAGTTCCACAAAGCAGAACTTTGCTTTTCAGTACCCCTCAAGAATAAGGAGTAAAACAAGACGGGAAGGAGCAATTTGGGATTTGTTACCCCTAGATAACCTAGCTGAATTTCTACTCTACCACACTCTTGTTTATCACTCTAAGATGGTGGGCAGTGACTACCAGACAACCTCTAACTTTGATAACCCCATCTGCATGCTAAATGACATTCCTGCAGTCTACACCAAGACAGTGGACAACAGCCTAGTGAAGATTGGAAAGATACAGAAAAGGAACTAAGAGTCAGCAACCAAATTCTGGGGAATCTCCACCCATTCCCCATTATCAGACTCCTCTCTCATTGTCTCTTCACACCAAAGGGTAGAGAAACTGATTTGTTGAGTTTATTTCCCATTTCTCTTCTTCATTAAAAATGAAAAAAAAAGAACTCTAGTGAATTGTTCCAATTATTTTCCTTCTTTATGCAGTTCTTGAAGTGTCCTTTGCTGTTCAAAAGAACAAAAATCTTAGCTATTCACACCCCCTTCCCCCCATCCTTGGGTCCTGGGCATGGTCCCTGAGCTTTTCTGCTCGAGGCTAGTGTTCTACCACTTAAGCCACAGCTCCATTTCTGTTTTTTGGTAATTAATTAAGAGATAAGAGTCTCTTAGACTTTCCTGCCCAGGTTGGCTTTAAACCAGATTCTTAGATCTCAGCCTCCTGAGTAGCTAAGAGTATAGGTGTGAGCCACCAAGTACCCTGGCAATAGTCCTAAAAGGTCATTAGCCCCAACTTACTACTACTGAGAGAATGTGGATCTTTTGAAAACATCCAAGGGCGTTTATCTTCTTCTCATTTTTAGCAATCCTGGAGTTTGAACAGGACCTTGCATCTGGTAGGCAAGAACTCTACCATTTGTGTCACGCCTCTCACTCTTTTGACTTCACTTATTTTTCAGATGGCATCTCAAACTCTTTGGCTGATCCACGATCCAGTTTCCTACCTTCACATATTACAGATGAGCATCACCACATCCAATTTGTTGGCCTGTCCTTGAACTGAGATCTCCAGATCTCCTGAGTATCTAGAATTACAGGCATGTACCACCACTCCAGAATGCTGCATGGCATTTCAGTCAAGGATGTACTGAACCTCCAGCCATGGTTCCCAAGAATTCTATCACTAAGTATCATCATGGCCGACTCATCTGACTACTTTTTATGTCAAATAATGTACAACTACACTTGCTCGTCATTCAGAATTCATTTACTATATGATATTGTTCATATGGATCCTTGCTTTTGAATCATTGAAGTTTTTGTTTTTTTTGTTTTGGGGGGTCCGGTCGTGGGGCCTGAACTCTGGGCCTGGGCGCTGTCCCTCAGCTCTTCAGCTCAAGGCTAGTACTCTACCAGTTGAGCCACAGCACCACTTCTGGCTTTTTGCTTATGTGGTGTTGGAGAATCGAACCCAGGGCCTCATGCATGCAAGGCAAGCGCTCTACCACTGAGCCACCTTCCCAGCCCCAAAATCATTGAAGTTGAAAGAACCAAACTATCAACCTTCAAATAAGATCATATCAACCTTTCAAACTACACATTTTTGCTAACAGTGACATACTTCAGAGGTTTCCCCAAAAGTCTTGTAAGTTGTAGAGCCATAGGAAGACCCCTTACAACTCAGAAAGAAGAGACAGATTTCTCTCTCAAGTTAAAAAGCAAGCAACATGTGTGACATAACAATGCTTAATCTCATGATTTGTCATATGGTACTGCTTTCAAATGTTGCAACACAACAAAAAAAGGAAAACTGGCTGGGCATGAATGCATAGAAAAAGAAGCATCATGGCTCTTCTTTCTCCCTCAGGCAACAGTTGTGGCTAATGGGTCCCAGAATTCCAGTTCAACTGGTATGTCCACTCCTACCACACCTAGACTGATGGTGCTCACGTTTGAGCAATAAACTCTTGAAGAACCTCTGTATTTGGCTTTCCATGAAAGCCTGGTTCAAGCAATGTACAAGTCTCATTTGAGGATTCTAGGTCTGGAGTAATAACAGCCATCAACAACTGGTATTTTAGCTCCAAGACAGATGCTCACAAGTCTGCTCTAAGAAATAAGCACATTCTTAAGTGTGCTGATATAAATAAGTCTCAGAGCTCAGGATAACATCTATATAGTGGCAAGTTCACTAGAGAGCTCTTAGAAATCACATGTCCACAAACCAACACTGAGCGAGGAAAAGCAGTTTTTACTTTTACTTGTAAGGAAAAAAAAAATCAAAAAGCCTAGCAACAGAACTCTTTGGAGAGAACAATTCTAATACTCAATGCCCTGACATCAACAAGAAAAGAAGACATTTGTTTTGAATGTTCAAAAAAGCTAGGTACCAGTGGCTCATTCCTGTAATCCTAGCTATGCAGGAGGCTAAAATCTGAGGATCACAGTTCAAAGCCAGCCCGGGCAGAAAAGTCCATGAGACTTATCTCCAGTAAACCACCAGAAAACTGGAAGGGGTGCTGTGGCTCAAGTGGTAGAGCGTTAGCCTTAAGCTGAAGAGCTGAGGGACAGTCCTATCCAGGCCCAGAGTTCCAGCCCCATGACCAACCAAAAAAAAAAAAAATTAATTAAAAAAAAAAAGCTTACACATACAAATTACACAAGACAGTGTGATTGGACAGATGACAAAAATACCAGTTTCCTGTGCTTCTTAAGTAGTGAAATTCTGAGATTAAGCTGCAGAAGGGCTCAGAAGTGCAGAAGTCTAGTTGTCATATAAGCGGAGCTCTCTTAAATCTCTTATCAACTGCAAATCTCAGTACAAAATAGCAAAACTATGTGAAAGACAACAGAATTCTTAACTACTTTCCTAAAAATCAACTGAAGACTCGGTCATCTAACTCTTAAGCAACAAATCTGTTAACATTTCTTACTTTCCATTTTATGAAAATCCTCTTCAAAGCCAGGGAAAAAAAATTTCTGACAAGCTCCACGTCCATGCAAGTTCTTAATAAAAATAGCCCTTTTTCTAAAGAGAAGATATACTACCTTTAGACCCGTTTTAAATGGCTTCTCCTTGGTTCCATCTCCGGTGGCATCACTGCCCTCTCGATCTGAGACATACAGTTCTGCTGTTTTTTTAAAAAAATGAGAATAAGTTATTAGTTAGCTCACCAGTAAGTGTGACCTTAAAATTCAAGCAAGCTTATCCACAAACCTCTGTTCTGTATAAAGTACCACAATCCAAAATAAGTTAACAATGTAACGATCTTCCAAATGCTCTATTCCAAGAATACCCATCTAAAAACAGAGTTTACAAATTAAGCTTTTCCAAATGAACTTCCGGATTCCAATTTCAATTTGTAAGACTGCCTCTACCTACTTAGGGAGCCAACTTAGGAGGCCAGGACTCTGACCTCGGCCAAATCTAGATTGAAGTCTTGGATGTTGAATGTGGGGGGGGGGGGGGCAGGAATTTATGAATGCTTTAGTGCTCACTTCTGGAACTATAAGATGAGGAAGGCAGTATTTTTCTAGAAGGCCTGTGTATGGGTGAAATAAAACTGCACATACAGATCGGGCATCCCAGTGCCAATGGCAGATGGCTAAGTTCAAAACAGTCCCCCCTTGGGTTTTGAAACCGCTGGGGTTACACTGCCCGAGTTGCATCAGCCGAGCCCTTAAACCCTACCATCCACGCAGAACGTGCGAAAACGTGCGAAGGAGCGCGGCTAGATCCGCCCTGGAGCCCGCGGGAGGCCGGGCACACGTGCAGAGCCCCCGGCTCAGGCGAGTCACCAGGTTTTCAAGGTGGGAGCAGGCCGGAGCGGCGGCCGCCCGGGACACGGGGGTCCCGCGGAGCTCGGCCCGGTCCCCGAGCCCTGGGCCCCAAGCCTCCTCCCGTACACACAGGGACATATGGGGGGGGCGCCCCACGGCGCGCCAGGTGCGCAGGCAAGCTGGAATCCGGGTGGACCCGGGTTTTTGCCCCAGGCAGGAACCTCGCGCCACAGACCGAGCCTCACTCACCCAGCACCATGCCCGCCGTGGCCCTCGTCACCTCCAAGGACATCTTCCCCCACACGCCGCAGCCGGTCCACCTCAAGCGCTAGGGCGTTGCGTCTCTTACCCCAGGGCCAGAGGTGGTTCCCGGAAACCTGACGAACTTCCGGGCTCCGTTAGTGACGGGAAAATGGGCGAGCGACGCAGGGGCGGCCATCTTGGTTGAGGGCAAAGACCATTTCCGGTCCGCAGACAGCCACGTGGGTGCACGCAGGGCTCCGCGGGCGCCGCCCCGTCTGCGTCTTCAGTTCTGGGACCTCCTTTCCCCGAAAGCTTCTCTCCTTTTAGTCATCACATCACAAACTTGCCTTTCTGAAACGTCCAACTCTGCTGTGAATTCTGCCTCCGCCGAATTCATCTCATTGTGAAAGGAACATATTCTCTTTAAAAAAAATTGTACTGAACACCTACACTTTTCCATGTCCTTATGCCTTAAACCACACAATTACTTATACAGCTTCACTCTGCTTTACGTTTTGTAAGCAGTCTACAGATAGCGTATACGGGGCAGGTGCGTGAGTGAGGGGTAAACAATACGCTATTGTAAGATACCGAAGTAGAAAAAGTACCGCCCAGGTGAAGGCACTTTCCGGCACCCAGTTTCGGGAATGTGGGCTGGGGCCCCAACAGGTGGGGCCCTCCAAAAGGATAGTGGGAAGCCCACCAGGCATAATTTTAAATAATAATACAGAAGAGGGAGAAACGGGGTGTCCTGACGTTGGCCTGACTAGGAAGGAATCGACCACTGACATGATCAGAAGTGATTGTCATCCCACCTGACCTTTTGTATGTCGGATTAATGCCTATCTTGTGAGCAACCAGCTTGTGTAAGACCCAGGATCTTCCTTCCCCGGGATCCGAACTTTTTCTGGCACTAGCCCGACCGTAACCTCCTTTATCCTCTCTAAAAAGTGCTCTCGATCTTTGCTGGTCTGCGATGCCGCAACAGGATCTGAACACCCGCGGGTCTCGTTGGGAGGCGCAGCGAGGCCGACCTCACTGCGGTCGGTGGCGTTTGGCTGCGGCCCTGGGTGCCTCTGCCCGCACTGTAATGGGCGTGACCCGTCCAGCACTTCAGAGAACTCCGCTTCCAGCTTCAGTTTAATAACACTCAAGCGATTTAAATCATTGAGAGCGATTGTCCTCCAGAAGCTGAAGTTCCATCCCTCCCAGGAACGGAGTGGATCGCCAGCTCGGATCAGCTTCCTTATCCAGTTTTGGCGTAGCCAGGGGCGCCCTCTTCCGGAGCCAACCTTCACACATCTGCGCCCTCAGGATTGCCGGGATCTCATTTGCTAAGCCTAGTTGGGAGTATGCGAAGGCTCCGTCCTTAGGCCAAATGGCCCTCACCGTCCACCGTAGCCAGCCCCTGACCTTGGGAATCGAAACCTGCGCCGCCACGTTGAATCCGGGCTGCTTCCGCATGAGTCTCCGGTAATCCTGCCTACCGACTTCCGGTTCCGGAACTGCGCTTGAGCTCGTGTGGACGGAAGGGGGCAATGCTGCACTTCCGGCTGTGAGCGAGGAAGGTGGCGGTTGTGCTTCGCAGGTTGACGTGTGAGGGCTCCAGTATTGTAACCCTCTAAATGAACTTTGGAGCGAGAGAAGGCAAGGTCGCTGCGAATGCCTCCAGATCTTCTTCCCCTCGGCCTCGGCCTCGGCCCGCAGCGGGGCGGGCGCTGCTCACTTCCTGGACGGAAATGTGATAGTTAGCATCTGTCACTGCACACACAAAGTGAGGATTCTCATTATGATGGAAGTGTCGGCTGGAGCCACTGCATATTTAGCTTCCTTTTTTTTCCTGGTGGAGTTAAATTTAAGCACAAATTTGCTCGTTAACCTATACCCAGAGAACCTTTCATTTCGATCCTGATTATGCTTGTGACCTTTTTTATATCCTTCCTTAGATAATTTAAAAATAAAGCCATTTGAAAGCCCTATTGGATGCAGACTCTTGAAGGATAAGGTATAATTAAGGTTCCGAAGCCAGATACACCGGAAGTAAAAAGAGCTCTGTATTTCGTAATCAAGTCCCTTAAGCTCTGTCTGTTTGGGTCATACAATGATTAAAAATCCTTCGCTGGGAAAGTTTCTGTGAGGATGAGAGCGATCAGGCACACAAAAATGCCTAGTCTTGTTGGCGCCTAGCAAGTCTTCTAAATTACAATGCAGATGGTGTCGATGATCATTTGCTGTTCTTTTCCTGATCTTGCAGCAAACTACCTTCCCTCATCCCTCACTCTCACACAAATGCCCACCGCAGTCCCTCCCCCCAGCGTGAATGGGCTCAGACTCTCAGTACATCCTTCCACTGCCTTAGCTCTTAGCAAATGGTCTGTTTCTTGTTTAAAGCCATTACATGAGCGTTCTGAGGCCTCCCTTGAAATGTATAACCTTTCCTTCTAGTACAAATAGTATATTCCCTAATGTCTCTTCTGTCTTCTGGATTCCTCACACCTCTCTAGTCACATCAGCCAGAGCAAATAACATGAATACAATCATGCTTGGAGTTGTTCTTACTTTCCTACTTACCCTTTGTTATCATATCTTTCTACTCACACTTGAAATTCCAGTTTTATTCTTTTCCCTAGGTTGTCTTTGCTACTCTCTGTTCAAAGTCGCCATCACTCCTGAATTTTATGATTCTCTTTGCTACCTTGACTATTCTCCAGAAGAATCATACACAAGATACCTGTATTCAGTCTTTTTTTTTTCTGGTCGGTCGTTAGCATTAGGAAATTTTTAAAAAGCAGGAGGTTCAAGTGAACTCTGGGCCTGGGCACTGTCCCTTAGCTCTTCAGCTCAAGGATAGAGCTCTACCATTTGAGCTACAGCGCCACTTCCGGCTTTTTCTGTTTATGTGGTGCTGAGGAATGGAACCCAGGGCCTCACGCATGCAAAGCAAGCATTCTACCACTAAGACACCTTCCTAGCCCCTTGACTTCATTCAAATGTTTTCATCCCAAACCAAAATGTCCTAAAAAATAGCCTAGTCTTGGACAAATTTTGTAAATTTTAAAGAGCCCTTGTGGGTTACTCAGAATATTTATAGTTATAAAATCTTGATGCAAAAAAACTTGAACCAAAGTTCTATTTGTAGAAATAGTTTTCTCTGTTACTGACCTTTTCAACAAAGTTTTTATGTTGGTCACACAAAATTTAAATAAGGAACTTGAAGATAGGTGGGAATTCTCCAATGAGTGGTAACCAGAAACCTCTTACTGGATTTCCATAAACTGGTTTATTTATTACACAGTTTGGCTCAGCAGAACTGTTTCATAATGAAACTGAAAGATGACTCCCAGTGGGCAAATTGACCTCTGTTCTACAGGTTGATTTTTATCCCCTGGGAGAATTGATTGCTGACAAGAAATGTTAGACTAGAAAATCTCCTCCCCTGTTGACTCAATAAGCAGGATCCAGTATCTTAGGTCTTCCTGTGGAAAAGAAACAAGTAGACATTCTAGAAGTAACGATAACTTTTGATACTATTGCTAATATTAAGAGCATCAGGAAATTTTAAAAAAGCAGGAGGTTCAAGGAACATTGATATTATTTCTAGCATAAACAGGTGTTTTGAAGTTAGTATCCTACCCTAAATTTGGTGGGAATGCCTCTAGGTTTTCTAACCATCATGCTTTGTCTCTATTAGAATGGCTAGTATAACTATTTACATTATAATTTTGGATTTTTGAGACAAAGTTCCTGATAATCTTAAAAGCATGAGAGTTGTTTCTCTTCCCGTGTCTCTTCTCAATCCGAATAAATGGCCTTACAAAACACTGCTCAGGCAGGAAAGTCCCTCAGATGCTCACCTCCAATTAACCACTAGAAAACTGGAGTGGAGCTATGGCTTAAAATTGTAAGAGTACTAGCCTTGAGCAAAAAGAGCGCAGGGACAGCACCCAGGTCCCGAGTTCAAGCCCCATGACCAACCAAAAAAAAAGAAAACAGGGGGCTGGGAAGGTGGCTCAGTGGTAGAGCACTTGCCTTGCATGCTCGAGGCCCTGGGTTCGATTCCTCAGCACCACATAAGAAAAAAGCCGGAAGTGGCGCTGTGGCTCAAGTGGTAGAGTGCTAGCCTTGAGCTGAAGAGCTGAGGGACAGTGCCCAGGCCCAAAGTTCCCACGACCGGACCCCCCCGCCCCCCCAAAAAAAACACATTGCTTTTTGTCTATAACTGTGAACAGGAAGTCACCATCTCATGGTTGAGCCATCAGAAGAGCAAAGAGTTAGATTGCTGTTCCAGTTTGAAATTTGTGGCTAAGAGCAAGTCTCAACTGGGAACAATTTGTGATTTGAGCAGGAATAATAGTAATGACCTTTATTTGAGGCTTTTTGCTTAAAAATATTTTCTATTTCTTAAATTTGGAAATAAATATATTTATATAGTTCAAAATCTTTTAATTTTGTAAGTATGAAAGAGAATTGTATTTAAAAAATATCACTCCCTAAAACCCCTTTTAGTTCCTTTTGTATCTTCCTACGGATTCTCTTTTGTTTTTTTCTGCTGATGCTGGGGCTTGAACTTGGGGCTTGGGGACTGTCCCTGAGCCTTCTTGCTCATGGTTAACACTCCACTTGAGGCACAACTCCACTTCCTGCATTTTTGAAAGATAACTGAAGAGTCTCAGGGGCTTTCCTGACCTGAATGGCTTCAAACCAGGATCCTCAGATTCCCTTGAATAGCTAGGACTACAGGTGTGAACCACTGGTGCCTGGCATCTTTCTACAGATTCTTGATAAAACTATTAGTGTATTCCTTCCATTAGACCTTCATTTTTAATTGTCTTATTGTCAAGATGATGTACAAAGGGGTTACAGTTACATAAGTAAGGTAATAAGTACATTTCTTGTCAAACTTGTTACCCCTTCCCTCATTTTTCTTTTACTTTCCCTCCCTACCCAACCATTATAACTTCTTTGAGCCAGGCTACCATATTCCTTTCTTTGAAACAACCACCTTTTTTAAAAGGTACGAAAATAAAATTAAAATTAAAGGTACAAATAATATAACACAATATATTTAACTGTGCAAATTGATATTCACCCCTATCACAGCATGTATTTCAAACAGTATTCCATTATCTGTATACCATCTTTTATTGATTTATCCACCTGTTTTTGAACATTTGGCCCATTTGTATTCTGGCCATGAGTATCTGTTGCCAAGTATTTGTTTGGACACCTGTTTCTAGTTCTTTGGGGTCTATACCTCAGAGTGGAATTGTTAGTTCAAAGGGTAATTTAACTTACTGAAGACCTGCCAGACTATTTTGTACAGTAGCTGTACCATTTTCCATCCTCATCAACAACATGAGGATCCTAATTTGTCTACATATCGTCTATAGTGGTTATCCTGATGTGTGGAGTAGAGCTCTGTGGTGTTGGCTGGTTCTTCCTTGATGACTAATGATGGACTTCTTTCCATGTACTTATTGATCACTTATGTATTTTTTTAATTCCAGGAAATCATTTTTACATTGCTGATTTTTAATCATCCCTGAGATATACTTGATTGTTCTAAACCTTTTTTTTAAAAAAAATGATACTGCAGCCAGAATGTTCTAGCAGATTTTGACAGTTTTAGAATGTGTTTTGCAATTCTCCTAAGTTTCATTCACATCACAGAAAGGCAGCACGTTCAAATAGATGTAGGTTCCATTAGGATACATTTGCTATGGAATTGACGTCACTTGTGAATCATTTCATACCCATCAGATGTCATTCCTGAGCAATTTCTGATCCAGGGCTTGACTAAGAACCTTTAGAAGGTTCTCTTTGGTTTAAAATATCACTCACACAATCTCAGTGGTGTAGCCTATGGCAGAGAATTGTCTTCAGTTTTTCAGGGGCCATTTCCTAGGTCTGCACAGAAATCTTCCCATAACATATCTATTGCAGAGGCTAAGCACCTGCCCTATCTCCTCCCACCAAACCCCCTCAGGCTGGTGCTTTCTCATCACTCTCTGCTAATCATGCCTCCCAGAGAAGTCCCACCTGTGGACAGATAACCTCCTTCTCCATGATAGAATCACTGTTCCTTGAAGTCAAGGTGACCCTTGTGGCCAGGTGCCAGTCATTTGTTCTGCCCTGAAGTTCTTACCTTTAACTTCCCACAGCCTCAAACCTCAGCTTCCACCTCCTCCTCCCTGTTCTTCTCCCCTTCCTCACTCCTCTTTGCCTATTTTCCTGACAACTGTTTATTGTGTATTTCAACTTTATCTACTCACTCCCCCCTTCCTCTTACTGTGACTCCAAAGAATTGAGGTGATTTAGAAAAGTTGTCAACTTGCTCTCATTGAAGTAGACTCTACAGTACCGTCTGCATCTGATGTGAATAATCACATATTTTTCAATCACATTTACTCTGACATTTACCACTCTGTTCCTGATGTTATTTCTTACCAGTACTGGAGTTCTTTGAAAAATCCTTGGGACTAGATTGTTTTGTCATATACTCTACACTTGGCAAAACGCCCGATTTACTATTTTAGGGCTAGGAGTATAGCTCAGTGGTAGAGGGCTTTCCTTGCACACTTGAATCCCTGTGTTCAATCCCTGGCACTGCAATATATAGAAATAAACAAAAATATGCAACATATAAAAATGTTAAAAGATTCTATTGCCAGAGATTTTACTAAAACATTTATTTTTTAAACAAAAATATACATTCAATCTTAGATTTACAGCATATAGAAATAATTTATCCAAAGCAATTTCATTTAAAATTGATAATATTGCACCCAACAGTTAAAGTCTTTGACACATTTGCTTTGCCAACCTTTCCCACAATTCAAAAAAAAGAGAAAAATCTGAAACTGATACAATTACACAAGAAACTTTTTTGTAAAAAAAGAAACATACAATTCTCCTTATTTACAAGATGAAGTTGTAAACTTTCAGCAATTTACTTCCATCCAATAGCCATACATTCTTGTATCATATCTTCAAAATGCATTATAAAATTAGAATTGAATTTTCCTGTCCTGCATATATAAAGATGAAGTACACATCTTATGATTTCCTTACATATTCAAAGGGACTGATTTTGAACATTTGCTGCTTAAGGATGGAAATTACTCCCAGAACTGAAAAAATAAAAAATACAAAATGGAAGGGGGGAAGAAAGGCAGGCAAGAGAGAAGGAGAAAAAGGACCTGAGTTCAAGCCCAAGTAACGCACGTGCACACACACACATACACACACATACACATACACACACACATACACACAAGTGTCTGTCAAAGGGAATCAGCTCAAAGGGAATCAGCTCAGTTTAAGCATTCTATAACTTTTAATTGACATACACATTTTTGGGATACCTTGTGTTTTTTTCCTTTTTTTTTTTTTGCCAGTTGTGGGGCTTGAATTCAGGGGCTGGGCACGGTTCCTGAGCTGCTTCGGTTCCTGAGCTTCTTTTGCTCAAGGCTAGCACTCTACCACTTGAGCCACAGCACCACCTCTGGCCTTTTCTGTTTATGTGGTAGTGAGGAACTGAACCCAGGGCTTTATGCATGCTATGCAAGCACTTTACCACTAAGCTACTTTCCCAGCCCCTCCTTTTCATTATTTTTTTTTGGGGGGGTCCGGTCCTGGAGCCTGAACTCTGGGCCTGGGCGCTGTCCCTCAGCTCTTCAGCTCAAGGCTAGTACTCTACCACTTGGGCCACAGCAACACTTCTGGCTTTTTTCTTTTTGCTTATGTGGTGCTGAGGAATCGAACCCAGGGCCTCAGGCATGCAAGGCAAGCACTCTACCACTGAGCCACCTTCCCAGCCCCTCCTTTTTATGCTGAGATTGAATAAAGGCCTGAACTCTACCAGTCAGCTACATGGGCAGCCAGCCATGTAATAGCTTAATATGTGTAATAATTTGTAATCTCTATTTGTTCAAGCATTTGTCATGTCTTTGTAATGAAAGCATTCTAAATTCTTCTAGCATTTCCAAGATAGTATTTTACCATGAGCTTTGGTTACCCTACTGTGCCACAAACCACCAGAATTTATTTCTCCTGTTTAAATGTACCTTTTAGTGTCTATTAATATTCTCAGCCTTTAAAAAACTATTTTTTTGGGGGGGGGTCCGGTCGTGGGGCCTGAACTCTGGGCCTGGGCGCTGTCCCTCAGCTCTTCAGCTCAAGGCTAGCACTCCACCAACTTGAGCCACAGCACCACTCCTGGCTTTTTTCTTTTTGGTTATGTGGTGCTGAGGAATCAAACCCAGGGCCTCAGGCATGCAAGGCAAGCGCTCTACCACTGAGCCACCTTTCCAGCCCCTAAAAAGCGATTTTTTTTTGAAGCCCATAAATATCTGCTTTCAGAAAAGGAGGGTAGGGAGTCCAATCCCTTGTATTCCAGGAAGTTGCCAGGACATACCATGGTATGATAAGCCCAAACCAGCCTGTGCCACACACTTAACAAATCTAGTGTGTTTCTTGAGTGTAAGAACCAGGCATGCAGCTTAGAAAAAGTCGTTTCCAGCTCTTCGTTGGTTTCAGGGTGGTGAGTGTTCAGGAAAGGTGGTGTTATCACTGTAAGCTGGGGCGGGGAGCTGAACCGCCCCAGGACAGGGAGATGTCAGGAATGTCACCGGACCGTGGAGGCCGCAGCCAACCAAGCCGGCCGAAAGGTCTCCCCGGGCCCTGCGCCCGCGCGGCGGCCCAACCCGCGTACAGCCGGCGGCGGTCTGTTTAAAAAGAGAACGAGCAGGAGCCGCGTCCGGCCGGGCGGCCTCAGCTGTCCCCCGTGCGCCGGTACTCGGCCGGGCCGTCGGCGATGCCGTCCAGCGGCGCGCGCTTCCGGCGCAGGCTGCGCCCGGACGAGATGAGGTCGGCGTAGCCGCGCTGGTGCGAGAAGGCGTAGGCCGAGCGCCGCGAGGACGCGCCCCGCCGGAACACGCGCTGCCGCTGCTTCCACTGCTCCTCCGCCTTCAACCGCTTGCGGTGTTTCTGGATCTGGGGGAAAGGAGGACGGAAGGGGAGGCCTGAACACAGACGCCTAAAGAAATGGGGGGCACGCACACGCACCCCCGTGCGGGCGGGGACCAGAGGCTGGCGCGCGCTCCATGGCACAAGCCAGGCTGGGCACAGGTTGGAGACCGCCGGTCTCCCCCCACCCCACCCCGTGCCAGGGCTTTGGGGGCACCGAAGTCGCCCACCTGGCGCACACTCTCTTCTTGTCTTTATTCCTCCCCCCCCCCACTTTTTTTTCCTGTTCGGACGTAAGGTTTGCACTCAGGGCCTGGGTGCTTTTTGGCCAAGGCTTTGACCACAGCTCCAGTTCCACCAGAAGCTCTATTTGTGACTTTTTGGAAGTTCATGGGAGATAGAGGAGTCTCACTACGTCCTAGCCAGGGCTGGCTTCAAACCACAGACCTTAGATCTCAGCTTCCTGAGTAGCTGGGATTACAGGTGTGAGTCACCAGCACTAGGCTAGGAATTCATTTTTAAACCCTGTTTGGTTTTTAGTTGTTGTTTTGGAAAGATGCCGTTAACGAGAAACAGCCACTGTTAATCACACTTCCTGTAAGTCTATAGAGTCTGCATAGAAGGGCTCTCAGGGTTAGGGCAGACCTATTTCTCTCTACCTTATCACTTTCTGATGGCCAGATGGTCATTGACAAGAAACGCATGGCAACCACGGGTAATAAGCACACTGCAACCGTTAAGATGATGGTCAACCAAATATATGGCTGTCTCAGCGCATTGGAAGCCGTGCCTGGAAAGAAATGGGGATTGAATTACAGGGGTCCATTTACCCCAAGAGCAGAGTTCATATTCTATAATCCATAAACGGGTTATCTGTTGAGAGTTTTACAATCATATTGGTCTCCCCAAAACATTCAAGGAATGAACATTTCAAATGTGAGTAAGCAAGGTCAAACAAGGAAGATCAGTTCTTTTCAACAAGCAAATGTACATAAAGAAACAAATCGGGGGAAAATGTGCATTTGTTAACACTTTTTTGAGTCAAAAATGCAAATTAGAGGTGGTGTAGCTCAGTAGCATGTGCCAGACCTTAGGTTTACCCCAACACACACACACACACAGAGCAAAACTGAATACTGTTAGAACAGGTTTGACTAGCGTTTGGTAATTTGTCATATATTTCTTAGAGTTTAATTATTGGTCATATGACTATTTTGTTTTCTATCAATTTGGTTATTGTTCTGCATACATTATTTCCAAAGATAAAGATATGGCTAACTTCTGAGTTTTAGGACTCCAAATCTTGATAGTTCATATGTTTAGCAACTTTAGCACTTCTTTGTACTTGATTTTTGTTTTTTTGGTGCTGGTCCTGGGGCAGAAACTCAGGGTTTGGGTGCTGTCTCTGAGATTCTTTTGCTCAAGGTTAGTTTTCCACAGCTCCACTTTGGCTTTTTTGGTGATTATTGGAAATAAAGAGTCTCATGGACTTTCCTATTGGGGCTGGCTTTGAACCTCAATCCTTCGAAGTCAGACTCCTTTGTAGCTAGGATTACAAATGTTACTGGTGGAGACAGTAGCTGGAACATCAGCTCCCACCCCCTTTTCCTTTTTCAGTAATTAGAAATGTAATGGTAGCATAGTCCAAGTCACCTTGCAAAAATTTGTTTGTTTTCTATAATTTGTAGGGCTTGAATTCAGGGCCTGGGCACTGTCCTTGAGCTCTTTTGCTCAAGGGTAGCACTCTACCACTTTAAGCCACTGCTTAACTTCTAGTTTTTTTTTGTTTGTTTGTTTGTTTTCCTTTCTGCCAGTCCTGGGGCTTGAACAATGGGCCTGGGCACTGTCCCTGAGCTTCTTTTGCTCAAAGCTAGCATTTTACCACTTAAGCCACAGCACCACTTCTGGCTTTTTCTGTGCATGTGGTACTGAGGAATCAAACCTAAGGCTTCATGCATGCTAGGCAAGCACTCTACCACTAAGCCACACTTCCAGCCCCCTTCACTTCCCGTTTTTGAGTGGTTAATCGGACATAAGAGTCTCACAGACTTTCCTGCTTGAGCTGGCTTCAAACCGCAATCCTCAGATCTCAGCTACTCTTGAGTAGCTAGTATTACATGCATGAGCCACTGATGCACAAACTTGTATTTTTTTTTTTTTAGTCTTAAGAGTATGTTATACAAGTGGAAAAACTTGATTAAACCATATGAAAAGTTTTATAATCCATTATGTATTTAGGATATGGTTTTGGAAAAATTTTGCCCATTATATATTTCAGATAGCATTTTGGAAATATTTAATTACATTATGGAACTACCAGAAATAGATATATAATCAATTTTCCAATAACCACAAACAGTAGATTTTATGGAAGGAAAAGGGGGAATGTTTCTCTTAGTCTTTTTATTTAATTGAATTTTTTAATGCTAAAACTGGGGTTGTATTAAAGGCCTCTTGATCTCTCTTGGCTTTTTTACTCAAAGCTTCTTGCTGATTAATTGGAGAGAAGAAGCTCATGGGCTTTTTTTCCTTGGCTGGAATGAGATCCTCAGATCTCATTCTTCTATCTAGGATTACAGGCATGAGTCACCAGCATCTGGCTTTTCTTGGCCTTATAATTTTTCAGCTATCCAATTTCACAGCTGCACAATTGTACTTTGATGTTATCTTAACCTACCAACTCACCACCACCAGTGAGAACATGAATTTTATGTAGCAATAATTTACCATCTATATTTATTTACTATACACGTCATTTATTTCATTCATTTTTAAAAATTTAGCCAGAACTTAAAGTTAACATCTAAGCTAGTGACATGTATCTATGCCCTTATCTTTTGGAATTTCCACAATACCAACCTGTAAATTGAAATGAAGACGGAAAGAGAACATGTATTCCAGCACTATGAAAATCAAACATGATGCCAAAATAAAGGGCAATGCTTCCAAAAATGGAAAAAGCATTCACAAAAGTCCAGTAAGAAGTATCCAAGCCAATCTGTTGGGAAACCAGAGAAAAAACAGAGCACTCATTTTGGGGAGTTAGCAAGAAAGAAAGGATCTAGGAATTCAGAAAATGGAATCTGGCAATGTAGTCATGATTTGGTCTGAGTACAAAACAATCAGAAACCAAACCATCCTTGATTCAGGCAAGAAAAAGGAAGTATGCATGGGGGCGGGGGAGGGTTGAAAATAGTATACTTATTTTTGTGAGGTGACAGAGGCTCAGTTGAAGAACAGCCCGTGTACTCAGCCTACGTACATAGAGGTACTGACATAACCAAATACAGTTGTGGAAAGCCACATACCTGGAAATTGACTGTTATTACAAGGGCCGAGGCAACAGTGACAGCGAAAGACTGGTAGTCTGAAGGTGCCTCTCCGTCCTGTCCCACGGTTTGCAAATAAGCTCCAAGAGGTATGAAGAAGAGGACCAAAGACGTTAGGATCCCATGCAGCAAGCTGACAAAGAATCTCTTATAGTTGAATAGTAAGTCCTTTTGTCCCACCACGTATAACCGAGGAAAACGAAGGCTCAGTTTGTCACTCACATCCTTCAGGGGAAAATAAAATTAGAGTGATACCTTATCCATGAGGTGAAAGACATCAGATACATTACCATGCAGTATCTCCTGTTAAGTTTCAGGAAGTAATCGCGAAGCAAGATGACAAAAGATATGACATTAGCTGTGCATGCACAGAGATCAGCCTCAGGGCTTTAGTCTACTGATACTTGATATTTCACTCAGAGAGCCTAGGCAAGATTTTATTACTTTGCTACTTATAAAAGAAAAAAAAATGAATGTTTAAAATGTAGGAAAGACCAGGAGTCAGTGATTCATGCCTGTAATTCTAGCTACTCAGAAGGCTGATATCTGAGGACTGTGGTTCAAAGCCAGCCCAGGCAGGAAAGTCCATGAGACTCTTATCTCTAATAAACTTCCAAAAAAGCTGGAAGTGGAGCTGTGGCTAGAGTGTGGTAGAGAGCTAACATTACACAAAAGAAGCTCAGAGGCAGCACCCAGACCCTTGGACTGGTACACACACACACACACACACACGCACACACACGTAGAGAGGAGACAATATATATTACTTCAGATTTAGGGAGAAAATGTTCACATATAAGCCAATACATGAATAATAATAATGACAATGATAACTTTTTTTGGGAGGGGGATGCTGTACCGAGACTTGAACTGGTACCTCATGCTTTCACTTGGCTTTTTTTCTTGTCTTTTAGGTCTGAGACGGGACTCATTATCTGAACCTTGTGCTCATTGGCTAGCTCTATCAACTGGGTCATGCCTCCAACTCCTCACTTGGCTGTTTTGTTCATGGGCTGGTACTCTGCAGATTCAGGCTTCTACCTCAAGCTTTTTGCTGATTACTTGGAGATAAGAGTCTTGTGGAATTTTCTACAAGGCTGGCTTTGTACCAAAATTCTCAGATCTCAACCTCCTGAGTAGGATTACAAACCTGAGCCAGTGGTGTCTAGTGACCAGTTAATTCTTATTATTGATTAAAACACTTTCTGTTAGAATACCTTTTAGAGACAAAGTGTATATTGACTTGCCAATTAAACACATCAGCATTGGAAAGTGCTAAAATTTACATGCAATCTGCACAAGTTTTATGTGTATGTGTGTGTGTGTGTGTGTCTGTCTGTCTGTCTGTCGTGGGGCTTGAACTCTGGACCTGGGCGTTGTCCCTGCGCTCTTCAGCCCAAGGTGAGCGCTCTACCGCTTGAGCCACAGTGCCACTTCTGGTTTTATTGGTGATAAGAGTCTCACAGACTTTCCTGCCCAGGCTGGCTTTGAACCACGATCCTCAGATCTCAGCCTCCTGAGTAGCTAGAATTATGGGCGTGAGCCACTGGTGCCCAGCTTTCAGTTGGGACTCTTGTCTGAAAGCAACAGATGGATTCTTGCCAATGTAAAGGCAAAAGAAGGATGTGCTGAGGACTCTTTGGTGGACCACTCTCCGATGGCATTGGCTCCACCCAGAACCCCCAGCACAAAGCTCTTACCTGGTCGAGCAGCCCCATGAGGAGCACAGGCAGGCTGGAGTACAGCACGTTGTACAGTGTGATGAACCAGTCCTCATAGGCAGTCTGTGGAGATGGGGGGGGGGAGTGACAAAGGCTTTGTTATGTACCAACACTCACAGGAATGTCCTCAGTCAAAGAGGACTCTTGAATAATTAGCCCTCATCTACCACTGAACAGGACAGGAGGTTGTTTCTATGTAGTAGACAGAGCCACAGGCCTTCCACAGAAACACCACCTCCTCCCTCTCCTGCCATAAATGTGGGGGGCAATAATGCTCCAAAATTTTTCAATAAAAGACTTTATTCTGGCTACATGCCGGTAGCTCATGTCTATAATCCTAGTTTTCCAGGAAGCTGAGATCTGAAGATCGAGGTTCAAAGCCAACCTGGGCAGGAAAATCTGTGAGACTCTTATCTCCAATTAACCACAAAAAGCTGGAAGTGAGCTGTGGCTCAAGTGGTAGAATGCTAGCCTTGAGCACAAAAGCTCAGGGACAGCACCCAGGCCTTGAGTTCAAGCCTCAGGACCAGCGCGTGCGCGCACATGTGCGCGCGCACACATACACACACAGACTGTTCTGATCAGTAGTGCTGGAAGACAAGTCAAAATTCACCATTCAGCCATCCTTTTTATTAATGAATTTGAATACTTGAAACTGAACTAGGATACTTTAAACTTTTTTTGATATTTAAATAAAAACAGTAAAACTATTTCAGAAGCACAAGGACGATCAAGTTTTGTGTTTATTTTGCACAGCCAACGTTTTCATGGAAATGTCATATAAAAATGTCTGGCTGAACATAAACAAGATGTTTCTGGAAGGGATGAAGAACACTGTGTACACTTCATTCCTTGGGGTGGGATGGGAGGGGAATTAGCCTACAGGGGACTGAATTATATGCGGTTCCACCCAGAGTGGGCAACCCAGCCCCACTCCAAGGCTGCCCTGGCCTTTGACCTGAGATTCCTTCAGCCCCACAGCACATTAGTAGCAAAGAAGGTTCGAGAACCACAGGCACTGATGTTAGTTTATTTTATTATTATTATTTTTCCCAGTCTTGGGGCCTGAATTCTGGGCCTGGGCACTGTCCCTCAGCAGTTTAGCTGAAGGCTAGCGCTCTACCACTTGAGACACAGTGCCACTTCCAGTTTTTTCTGCTTATGTGGTGCTGAGAAATTTACCCCAGGGCCTCATGCATGCAAGGCAAGCTCTCTACCACTGAGCCACCTTCCTGTTAGTTTATTTTTTACTAATGGTATTTTTCTACTGAATCATTTTGGGTATATTCAGTATGTACCACCCCATTTCAACAACAACAAGAAAAACAATGAAACAACAAATGGGTTAATGATAATAGATTTTCCATCATCCAAATTTCTTAAAAAATTTTTTTTGGCAGTACTTGGATTTGAATTGGGACCTTACTGCTTGCTAGGCATACTACCACTTGGTCCACACACACACAGCTCTGTTTTGCTTTTTTTTTTTTTAAGGCCTCTTCTGTTTGTCCAGGGCCAGTCTCACTAATACTCACTAGCTATGCCTCCTACATATACAACCATGTTAGGCTTGTTGGTTAATATGGTGTCTTGCTAACTCTTGTACCCAAGCTGGACTCTAACCACCATTCTCCATCTCCAACTTCCAAGTAGTTAGGATTACAGGTATGCACTACCATGCCTAGCTTCCATATATATATATATTTGTTGTTGGTCATTGGGCTTGATCTCTGGGCACTGTCCCTGAGTTCTTCAGTTCAAGGTGAACACTCTACCACTTGAGCCACAGCACCACTTCCAATTTTCTAGTGGTTAATGGCAGATAAGAGTCTCAGACACTTTCCTACCCCGGCTGTCTTTGAACTGCGATCCTCAGATCTCAACCTCCTGAGTGGCTAGGATTACAGGTGTGAGCCACCAGCACCTGGCTCATTAGTCTTAATCAAATACAATTTTATTCTTTTACAGTTGAATAATTTGCCATTCAACTGTTTAGCAAAATAACATGGAAAAATAACCTAAAAATGAAAAAAATATATAAACAACTTCTAAAGTAAACAAAATATTTTTAAAGTATCAGAAACATTCTAGAAATCTAAGCTATAGCCTTAATTATGTCCTTAACTATCAGGACTGATGGCTGACACTGAATTAAGGACACTGGGTACAACACTATTACCGCTCAAGGCACAACTCCACTTTCAGCTTTTTGCTAGTTAATTGCACACACTTTTGTGCCCTATCTGGGTTGGAACCTCAGTCCTCAGATCTCAGCCTGCTGGGTAACTAGGATTACAACAGTGAGCTATAAGCACCTGACTAATTTGGTCTTCAGAACAAGTGTTTTCTTAATGTAAGAACTCTACTCAATACAAAATGCTTTCATGATCCTGTTTTATTACCTGTGCTGAGTAGCCATTGAAGAAGGAGTACCAGAAATGAACCAAAGTAAACGCAAAGTTTTTGTAAAAGAAGTATCGTAGGAACTTGCACATCCTTATATAAGACCACCGGCCATGCACCAGCAGCAACCTCTGCAGAAATCGGAACTGGGCAAAGGAATAGTCGCTGGACATGACAGCCTGCATTCCTTCTTGTCCACTTATCCCAACACCAATGTGCGCAGCTGCAGAGCAGAGGAGGAAGATACTGTGAATCATAAGCTGCTTTGAGGCAAAACATTAGATGCTAAAAATGTCTCTATAGCAAAAACCAAACACCATATATGTGTGTGTATACATATACATATTTATATATGTACACATACATATTCATGGAACAATATATATAAAAGCTTTTGTTCATCTTCCTCACCCCCTGCTCCTGGACCCAATTCCAAGTCATGTTATAGTTCGCTATACAATGCACATGGTAGAGCTTTCACAAATATTTGTGAATACCTCTCAGGCTAGTGGAGAATTCCATTTAGATTATCTGCCCATCTCCCAAACCATTCCTTCTACCCACAGGGTGCACCTCCATGTGGCCTATTGGCCATATCTCACTCAGCCATTTGAAATCTATGGTAGATACTGAAAAGTGACTCTCCACTATAATTCCATACTTGTTCTAATTGGAGAGGTGGAAAAGTAAATATAAATCCTACATTTCCCAGACTGTTTTGCAGCTGGGTTCTCATGGAGAATTAAGTTCACTGTTTATCACCATTGAGACTTGGAGGCACAAGTGAATCAGAACCCTGCACCCCTGCACTTTGTGTATTTGTGCAACAGAATTCATTATCCAGTTGCCCATGTACTGATAGGCAATTACAAAGATTTATTACTGAGAAGGTCTTTAGATGGACCTCAAAGGTAGAAGTTCTTCTAGAGACTCAGTCTAGAACCTGTGTCTTCTGGCCATCCAGAGCTTTTGAAAGCACCAAAGGCCCCATGCTAAAGAATCTACAGAGGACTGTCTACTGTTCTGATTCTAACTTACAGAACCACTCTCCCCCCCACCCCCGACTCAGCCAATCAGTATCTCTTTTGGGATTCAACCAATAAGTACCTCTCTTAGGATTCCGGAATTGGCATTCAAGAGTGTTTATATCTAGAATTTTACCATGTAAATTCATGATGTAAGGTGTGAAGTACATTTCTGGAAGTTTCTGATAGAGAAATAGAGAAAGAAAAGGGGCAGGCAAGCAGGCAGAAAGGCAGACAGAGAGACAGACACTGGGTTTCCAGTGCAACTCTAGGCCTTAATTCTAGCATCTCCCGGAGGCCTGGCTTATTAGGCAGAATGAAGCATGTTCTTATCTTTATAAGTAAATTCATTCTACTACAACTCCTGCCCATGATAGGTCTGGTTGTCTTCCAACAGTTATAATTGAAAGAAGTTAATCAAGAACTTCTTTAACTTTCAGAGGTTTATTCACCCTCTGATGTGGTGGTGAGACATATGTATGTATGTTTTTGGGGGTGGCAGAGTTAGGGGAGGGTTCCCGAATGTGCAAGAAGTTACAATTTTATCCCTCCTTCCACTAGTCACTAAATAACATTAAGTTAGAGAATAAGGAATGTTACCCATGTCTTAAAAGTCACAAACATAAAGAGCAATAGTGAGATCATTTAGAGAAAATGTGTTGGAGAACACAATCTATTACTCAGACTCCGAGAAGTACCTGCCAACTCTAGTTTCCAACTAGAAAGAAACTTCAAACATCCTGTCCCAGTTGGGAACACAAGGTCTGTAAATTTCAAAGTATAATTGTAGCAGTGTGGCCAAACCTATTTTTTAAATTATACTTTGGAATTCTAAAAAAGAAGAAGACATTGCTTCTCATAGGCTATTTTATCATCTTTTTCAAAATATATAAATAGTCCTTATGACCAGCTTTGGTTGCCAAATTTCCTTCCTACTAAACCATGTGTCCTTCTTTCCTTTCCTGAACAAGCCACAAAAGGAAATGAGAACTTCTCTGGGCTGTCAAGGCTGAGAAAAAGGAACCCCTGGTCCAGGCTCTGGTATCCAGGCCTTCATCCTTTGCATGGAGAGGGCCAAGTACAACAGTTGAAATGAGTATTGACATTGCCTACAAGGTTAAGTGGAGGCAACGGAAGAGCTGCACTATAATGCAGTACTGTGTTATTCCCCAAACTCTCAGCACAGGCCCCTAAACTGCCTTGAATTTCTGCATGCAGACTGATGGCTCACTGGTAGACACACCTTCATAGTTTCCTCAGCAACTGGTTATTTTCACAAGGCTTTATGTCTTTTTTTTGGTGGGTGGGGTATGTGGTAGGGCCTGGTCACTGTCCTTGAGCTGTCTTTGCTAGTGCTCTACCACTCTGAGCCACAGCTCTGCTTCCAGTTTTCTGGTGGTATATTGGAGATAAGAGTCTCATGGACTTTCCTATCCAGATTGGCTTTGAACAGCTATCCTTAGATCTCAGCTTCCTGAGTAGCTAGGATTATGGGCGTGAGCCACCAGCACCCAGACTGCTTTACATCTTTATTCATCTCTCTCAGGGCTCTTGCAGATTGTGAGGGTCTTAGACCAAGAAGTGAGAACACCCCATAAGCTGGTAGGGCAGCCTCTGAGGACCTGTAAATCCTTGCTAGGGGCAAAAACATGTGGGTCTCCATTCCCTTCAATTTCTACTGGATGGTTCTGCTAAACATGAAACACATTAGCCAATGGTCATAGCTTAAAAAAAATTTTTTTTTTTTTTAGTCCTGGGGCTTGAACTCAGGGCCTGGGCACTGTCCCTGAGCTTCTTTTGCTCTCTACCACTTGAGCCACAGTGCCACTTCTGGCTTTTTCTGTTTTTGTGGTCCTGAGGAATCAATCCCAGGACTTCATGCATGTTATACAAGCACTCTACTACTATGCCACATTCCCAGTCCATGTTTCTGTGTGTGTGTGTGTGTTTTGCTGATAGCTAGTGCTCTATCACTTGGACCACAGGTCCATTTTGGTGATTAACTAGAGATGAGTCAAAGACTTTCCTGCCTGAGCTGCTTTGAACCATGATCCTCAGATCCCAGCCTTCTGAGTAGCTAGGATTACAGGCGTGAGCCACCGGCACCCGGCATGGTCATTGCCTTTAACACCCAAGTTCCACTGTATTTTTCCTGTGTGTTGTGCTTGATAGCTGGAAGATGTTTATAAACTACAAAAAAGAAAGAAACACTACTTGGAGAACTCAGTCTCCCATATTCATCACAAATAGATGTTCCAGAAGTTATATATTAAAAAAATCTGTCATGCAACAGAGCTTAATAAAGAATGGAAAACAACTTAAGAAAAATGAGCTTCTATATGGATTATATGTTATCTTGGCTCTGTTGTCTCTGACAAATGATAAGTCAGAGGAACAAAATTTTAAGTCTCAATCACATAAATACATAAGTCAAATTTCTTTCTTTCTTAATGCCTAGAAGTCTGAATTATAGTGAATAAAAATGATGTTTGAGTTACACATCTTTTTAAGCACAGGTATAGTTATCTTAAAGGTACTCCAGGAGAATAAACTAGAGCTGAAGAGGACAGAGACTGATGTAATTCAGAGCAAGGAATGTCATCTGTGGAGTAGGACAAGCACATGCAAAAAAAGCAGTGGGGAGGAATTATACCAGCAGATATATGGCAACAGATATATGCATTGATAAAAAAGCAAGAAGACATACGTCATATAGATGACTCTTGTTGAGAAGATAAAGTTGGAATATTCTTAGTATATACCAAGGAGGAGGAGGAGAAGGCTCTAAGGAAAGAAAGAGACAGACCCATCATGAGTCACAAAATAGACAAGGTAAAAATCTAGTTTTATATAATGTATTCAATTTACTCAACACAAGATATGTGCATCATGTGTGTGTGTGTATATATATATGTATATATATACATATATAGTCATATATGGTCATGTAACTTTCTTTTGGTCAGTCATGGAGCTTGAACTCAGGGCCTGGGTGCTGTCCCTGAACTTTTTTGCTCAAGGTTAGTATGCTACCACTTGAGCCACAGCACTACTTCTGGTTTTCTGGTGATTAGTTGAAGATAATAATCTCACAGACTTTTCCTGCCTGGGCTGGCTTCAAATCACGATTCTCAGATCTCAACCTCCTGAGTAGCTCTGCTTATAGGCATGAGCCACCAATGCCCATCTCATCTGTGTGTGTGTGTGTGTGTGTGTGTTTGTGTGTGCTAATACTGGGGCTTGAACTCAGGGCCTCATACTCTTGCTTGGCCTGGTGCTCTACCAACTTGAGCCAGCCCTCTACTTCTGCTTTCTGCTGGTTAATTGGAAATAGAATCTCTCTAATTGGTCTTTCCAGGCTGGCTTTGAAGCTTAACTTCAGATCTCTGCCCCTGAGCAGCTAGGATTGCAGGCATGAGCCACCTGCACCCAACAGAACTCACCTTCTACTTGGCATTCCATGAATACAAACTATTGGGCCTACCCCTCCCCTAACATGGATTGTGGGAGGCCTGAGGGTAGTCACAGCTGTAGGAATGGTGAACTATCTTCAATATTTATCTGCTTGATGAAAACCTCAGCAGTGGAATCTGAAAATAACAAATTCCTAAACTCCTGTCATGTCTCCTCTTAGCAAGTTGAGTCTCAGCAGCCACCTGGGTACAACTCACTTTTGATCATGTTGACATCATTAGCCCCATCTCCAATGGCCAGTGTGATGGCCTTCTTGTACCTCTTCACCAGGTCCACCACCATGGCCTTCTGCTTGGGGGTAACACGGCAGCAGATGACGGCACTGCACTCACAGGCTAGGTCTACGAAGTTCTTCTGCCGCTGCTCTTTCCTGGCTTCAAGTCTCCTCTTACTTTGAGTTCGCATGCGCCGCTCCTCTTCTGTCCTGGGGAATTTCAGCTTCAATATCTTACTTCTCTTGGTCTTTTTCTCTAGAAGAATTTCATTCTGTGAAATCAGAGAGGAAAAACATTACAATCGCTTTAGGGTTTTTGGGTTTTTTGTTTGTTTGTTTTTGCCAGTCCTGGGGCTTGAACTCACAGCCTGGGCACTGTCCCTGAGCTTCTTTTGCTCAAGGCTAGCACTCTACCAACTGAGTCACAGCGCCACTTCTGGCTTTTTCTGTTTATGTGATACTGAGGAATCAAACCCAGGGCTTCATGTATGCTCGGCAAGCACTCTACCACTAAGCCACCTTCCCAGCCCTCATTTTAGTGTTTATACCAAGAATCCCACCATCCCCAAACCTTATGTAAAGTGTACTTTGTGGATTCTGTCATGGATTATATTATTTTGATTATGAAACACTTATGGGAAACATTAGAAAACACAAAATCCTGTGAAGAAGAAAATGAAAAGTTGCCCATTATTTGATTGACCTTTACCAGTGTTGGTTTTCCAGTTTCAGACAGCCTATGAAATTGAGATTCAAATTTGGCAAATAATACTTGCATTTATTAGCTAAAGGATTTTTTAGGTGGACAGGTAATGAATATAAAACTAGTTCCAAATGAATTCATCTTATTTGAATCAAAGGTGCAGTCACATCAGTGGTACTTACCAACCACGAACCAGTGATTATTAAGGCACGGTTTTCACCAGTTGGAAAAAAAGGTTCATGCACAGGAGGTGCAAATTTTGCATAAACACCGCCTCTGTTTCTCTGGTTTTCCATCCTCGTGTGGAGAAGAGAACTAGTGGAAAACAAGTTAAAATGTTTAAAGTACAAGACTACAAAGGCTCTACAAAGGTGGTTCTCTAGCTTCACTTGCCCACCAGAAAAGCCCTAGACACATATTCCACCTGCTGATTCTCCATATCTGCTGCCTTCTGCATCTAGTCATGACTTTGTAGAAATGAGCTACTACCTAATACATCACTTCATGCTTCTGGCCTGCCACTTACTTTATATCTTCCCCATAGCAGATAGTGGTGTCTTCTGTCAGAAGCTCACAGGCAAATCCTATATTTTCAGCAGTTTCTACAACAAAGGAAATTGAGGTCACATGTCATTTCTACTTTGGAACTGAATGTTTGTCATCAGCTTCAATATCCAGTATCTGAAATACTTGGGACCAGAAGGGCTTGAGTTTTTGGATTACATTAGAATTTGGAGTATTTTTATAAATACAATGAGATTTTTTTTGGCTTCGGGTTTTTATTTTGTGCCAGTTTGGGGGCTTGAGCTGAGGGTGCTATCTCTTAGCTTTTTGAGGGGCAAGGCTGGTGTTCTAACATTTGAGCCACAGCCCCACCTCCAGCTTATTTTGGTGGTTAACTGGAGATAAGAGTCTCACAGACTGCCTGGGCTGGCTTCAAACCATGATCCTTAGGTCTCAGCCTCCTGAGTAGTTAGGATTACAGGCCGGAGCCACCAGTGCCCAGCAGTGCTCTCACTCTCTCTTTCTCTGTCTCTCTCTCTCTCTGTGCTTGTCTCTCCTTTGTAATATTGGGATTTGAACTTAGGGCCTTGTAATTGCTAGGCAGGTGCTTTACATTGAGCCAGGTATCCAGCCCTTAATAAGGTATCTTAGGGATACAATTCAAGTAGAGATATGGAGTTCATTTAGTTTTTCATATACCCTTATACATATTGCCTGAAGGTAATTTTACACAGTATTTTTAGTGCATGTATATTTTGACTGCAATCTATCACAGAAGGTCAGGTGTGAAATTTTCCATCATGGCATCATGTAAGTATGTGTTCAGAAAGTTCCAGATTTTGAGCATTTGGGATTTTAGATTTAAAGGTGCTATAGAGAAGCTATAATCATGACTTTTTCAATTCATGAACATTACCAGATTCAACTAAATATACCATTTTTATGTAGCAATGGATAGAAATCATATAAAGACAAAGAAGTTTGTTTCTTTGTGGTAAAATAAATGAAGGTCATTTATTATTGATAAGTAGAATAATAAGAATAATCATGAATTGTGTTCCATCATCAAATATCTAAAATAGTTATTTGATGAATTACACCACCACATGTAAGTTGGGTGTGGTGGTGTACACCTATAATTCCAGCACTCAGGAAGTTAAGGACAGGAGGACTGTGCTTTCTAGATTAGGCTATATAGTGAGATTCTGTCTCAAAAATAAAAATCTAAAACAAAAAAAAAGTTAAACACACCCAGATCATGTGGTTTTATCACTCTATTATGGGGTGGGGGAAAGGATAATCATTTCCATTCAAGTTTCCTCTGGGCTCCTAGTGAAGACATTTTTCCATTACCACCCATTTGGTATTTATTAAAGGTTAGGGCTGTGCTTCTCTTCACTTGGCAGTGTGAAACTCATTGACAATGTCAATGCAAGAGACAGTGTCTTATTTCCTGAAGCAAGCTGGCAGAAAAAAAGTCAATGCCAAACAATGACTTGTGGAGTTCTAATTTATTTTTATTTATTTATTTATTTTTGTCGGTCATGGGGCCTGAACTCTGGGCTTGGGCACTATTCCTCAGCTCTTCAGCTCAAGGCTAGCACTCTACCACTTGAGCCACAGTGCCACTTCCAGCCTTTTCTGCTTATGTGGTGCTGAGGAATCGAACCCAGGGCCTCATGCTTGAAAGGCAAGCGCTGTACCACTGAGCTACCTTCCCAGCCCCTCTAATTATTTTTTGAACTTGATTTTTGTCATGTTTGGGTTTAAACTCAGGTCTTTGTGCTTGCTAGGCAGGTGCTCTTATTGCACAAACCATACCCCCACCTTGAGCTCTAAATGCTAACACATTTCCTGGGACATAAAATTTTAAATTTCAAGCCATAAAATGGACAAAGGAAACAAAAGATGTCATAGTTGAGTACTCTGTATTGTTCTAGTCTACATCCAATAAAGGACAGGAGAGGGGAGGGGTATGGAAAAGACAGTAGGGGCATGGGGTGGAGGGGCTTTTCAGGATGGGAGTACACGTTTGGCTGGACAGATAAGATTGATCAAAATCCACAAGACACAACAGGAGCTGAATGCTGAGGAAGAGCTCCCTACTTCAGGACTAGAGAGTGGGACATGCTGAGAGAGTCTGGATGAGAGAAAGGCTTTTAAGAAAGGAAAGCATCTCCACCCCCAGTAACACAGCTTGTGTTTACGCAGGATAAAAAGTCTGAGAAGGTCATCTTGGGCGAAGGAAACAGCAGCTCCAAATATTTGTATTTAATAGATCCGCTTGGCTACACAAAGAATTACCCTTTTTGTCTCCAGTGAGTACCCAGATCTTAATGTCAGCTTTTGCAAGTTTGGAAATGGTTTCTGGAACTCCATCTTGTAGTTTATCTTCAATAGCTGTAGCTCCTAAGAGCTGGATTGAGCATTTGAAATAGAAAAAAAGAAGAATTAGCCAATATATATATATTTTTCTTTTTCTTTCTTTTTTTCTTGTGCAGGTACTAGGGCTTGAACTCAGGGCCTCATAGTGTTGCTTGGCTTTTTCTACTCAAGGCTAGCCCTCTATCACTTGAGCCACAGCTCTGCTTCCAGCTTTTTCCTGGTTCATTGGAAGTAAAGAGTCTCTTAGGTTTGTCTGTTAAGCCTTTAAAACTTGATCCTCAAATCTCAGCCTCCTGAGTATCCAGGATTACTGATATGAGCCACCAGAGTCCAGAAAAAAATTCATTTAGAAATTTTTTATATTTTAATATTTTTTAATTATTATTATTTTTTTTGTCGGTCGTGGGCCTGGGTACTGGCCCTCAGCTCTTCAGCTCAAGGTAAGCTAGGATTACAGGCATGAGGCACAAGCGCCTGGCTATATTTTAAATTTTATATGTAATTATAAGCCTTCTGTACATCACCTTTATAATAACAATAAAAAATATAGTTACAAAAAAAGAAATGATGTGTTTTTGTCTTAAGTTTTTATAAACATAAGCAGCTTCAATGATTCTCCCAATGAAACAAAATCAGAACTCCCAATCTTTTTTTCTCTTTTACTGTTCAAAACAGTAGTTTCTATTCTTGCTGAATAAAAGAAATTCAAATGATATGGTTTCTTTTGTGCCAATTCCAAATGCTAAAGTTAGAATTGTCTTTTAAGCATGGGATAAAAAAATGTAATAAATGTGATAAAAATTTCAATTCAGCTTAGATTATCAAGGAAAAAAAGTTATTAAGGCTAACACTCACAATTAAGTCTTTTTCAATTTCTTCATAGACTTTATCCAGAGCTTCATCCCGGTTGGTCACAGCCACACTGGCAGCCATAAATTTCTTATTCCACTCTGCAAATTCGTTTTCTTCAATTTCCTTGTAGCAAAGGCAGAGGGTCCGAAGGGTTTCACTTGCAAAGATCTGTTTTATTTCAAAGGCAATCCACCCATGCAAAGAGTAGTTACTTTTAAATAGTTGAAGATCAAGTTAGAAATCCTACTTTGAAGTAATACACAAAGAGAATTTCAGAAGGGACCAGGCCATTTGATTCTATGGAGTAATTAAACTTGGCTTAATAATAGACCTTATTTCTCTCTCTTTCTCTCTTTGCTTACCTCTTTCCCTCCTTCCCTCCCTCCCTCTCTTCCTTCCTTCCTTCCTTCCTTCCTTTCCTTTCCTTTCTTTTCCTTTTTTGGTGCCAGTCCTGGAGCTTTAACTCAGGACCTAAGCGTAGTTCACGAGCTCTTTTACTCAAGGCTACCACTTAAGCCAGAGTTCCACTTCTAGCTTTGTTGGAGACTTTATAGAAGGTAAGAGTCTCATAGACTTTCCTACCCAGGTTGGCTTTGAACCATAATCCTTAGATCTGTCTTCAGAGTAGTTAGGGCTACAGACGTGAGCCATGACGCCTGGCTAGACCTTATTTTTCTAAGCATCTCTAGTGTTGTAGGACTTTCTTTTTCGTTCCCACACTCATTGAAGAAAAAAGTCCACCTTTCTACTAAACCAAGTAACTAAAAGAAACCCATTTTCTTTTAATGACTAAGAAAACAGCTAGTACTAATTGTAAACACAGATTGCTTCTCTCTCAAGGAACTTTGCCTGACTCTTAACCTCAACTCATTTTATGTTATTGTTGGTGGTATTGGGACTTGAAGTCAGGTACTCCAGCTTGCCAGGCCATTCCTCTACCACCAAAGCCACAGCCCAAGCCCTTTAGCTTTTCAGTTTTTAATAATGTCTTATGATAACTTTGACAGGGCTGGTCGGAGATTTTGATCCTCCCAAGTAGCTGGGACTATTCCTGGAATTAATTGATCAGTTGATCCTATCTATCTATCTATCTATCTATCTATCTATCTATCTATCTATCTATCTATCTATCCATCCATCCATATATCTTGTGGGGCTTGAATCCTAGGCCTTGCACTCTCCATTTGTTTTTTCAACTCAGACTGATATTTTGCCATTTGTGCAATTCCTCTAGTTCCTAACCGGATTGTGTGTGTGTGTGTGTGTGTGTGTGTGTGTGTGTGTGTGTGTCTGTGTGTGTGTCTGTGTGTGTGTCTGTATGTATGTATGCTGCTAGTATTAGAACTTGAACTCAGGGACTAGGTGCTGTCCCTTCACTTTTTTTCCCCTCAAGGCTAGTGTTTTACCACTTGAGCCATAGCTCCACTTCTGGCTTTTTTCTAGTTTGAGTTGGCTTCAAATCATGATCCTCAAATTTCAGCCTTCTGGGAAGCTAGAATTATAGGCATGAGTCACTGATATCCAGCTCCAGTTGATTCTTATAGGGAAGTAGGTTTTTTGTTTTGTTTTTTGCTTTTGTCAGTTGTAGTGCTTCAACTCTGGACCTGGGCACTATCCCTTGGCTCTCCAGCTCAAGGTGAGCACTCTAGCACTTGAGCCACAGCACCACTTCTGGTTTTCTGGTGGTTAACTGGAAATAAGAGTCTCACAGCTTTTCCTGCCTGGACTTTGAACCATGATCCTCAGATCTTAGCCTTTTGAATAGCTAGGATTATAGGCGTGAGCCACTGGGGCCTGGCTGTTTTTTCCTTATTATTATGATATTTCAGTAGTTGTACAAGGGAGCTGCCATTTACCAAAGCAGTTTATGAATATAATGCATCGTGATCAATGTCACTTCTTTCAACATTTTCACCCATCTCTTCCCTACTCATCCCTTCCCTCCCTCTTCTTAGTTTTGAAGGATATACACTGGATTCCTCACTGCATTCTCCCCTTCATTTGCCCACCCTTTTCCTCTTGACCTTCCCCTTCCCCTTGTGACTTCCTGCTTCCTGGTGTTGCATTTTGCTGAACTCTGCTTTTCTAAGGCAAAGATGCTGTTTCTTCCAATGACTTATCACAGTAGGAACTGCTCTCTCTTTCACACAGGGAATTAATGATTCATATGATACATTAGTATTTTTCCTAAGGAATCTGAACTGATAAAGAAGCAAATACAAGTCCCAACTGGCCTCTAGACCTCTGCCATTATCTCAAAGAGCCCAAACAGTATGGGGTCTGGTGGACATTTCCCAAAGTGCAAGTTCCAGAAGCATTCTAACAGCTGCATCATTACTGAATTTCCTAAAATGGCTCTGAAGCAATTAAGTTTAAACTATGTTACAAACAAAGGCATCAGAACTAATGACCCAGCAAAACAATGCTTTGTTAACCCCTGTTGTACTACAATGCTTTCTTTCCTTCATTCTTCACTTAGTAGTTGGAGTTCTTGAAGGCCATAGAGCTATTGGAGGCCAGAGCTTAACGCAGTTGTGATGTACTCAAGGTCACTGGAAAGGAGACAAGCACTATTCCCCTGCATTGTTCCTGCAGTCCTGGATGCTGGGAAAGGGCTCCAAGGTCATCTCCTAGGATGTCAAGGGCAGGGGCAGAATGGGAACCCAACTGACCACATTCCTACTTAGGTGTTGTTTCTACCCAACAATACAAAAGCAAGGTGAACATCACGAGTTTAAGAGACAGTACCAGAGACTAAGCAGAGAGAGAGGAAGAGTAACACTTACATCCAGGGCATCCTGCGTCTCCTGCTTTGTCGGATTCATTTGATGTAACCGTTCATAAATTACAGTGTCAGCACCTTTACAATACAGCCTGATGCTGCCTTCCGGGGTTCTCACTGACAGCAAAGAAAGGAAAATAATGAAGTTTAATTTTCTTTTTCTTTTTGGCAGTAGTGGGGTTTGAACCTATCTTCCATTTTCTTTCTAGGCTGGCACTCTACCATTTGAGCCAAGCTATTTGCTGCTAATTAGAAATGGAGCTAGCAAACCATAATCTTCTAAATCTCAGATTCAGAATGGATGGATACAATTACAGATATGAGCTACTGGCAGCTGGCAAATTTGACTTCTTAATGGAAAACTACATTTTAAAAGTTGTGAAGTGATACCAGGCTTATCATTTATAGTCAATTTAAAATCATCCATGCATCTAAAAAAGTGTCATTCACAACTGAGATGGTGAAGACAGAGTTGCTGTCTACTCAGACTGCAGTAGAAAAAATAAGCAGGAAAAGAATCCTTCAGTCAGTTCAGTTTTCACATCCTTATTCTTTTTAATTAATTTTTTTATTTTGCAGTATTAGGGTTTGAACTTGTTCTTGCTAGGTAGGCACTCTACAACTTGTGCCATGCCCCCAGTCTTCCTTATTTATCATTTTAACAATTGTTTATAGACTCCATAGAACTTCATCCATACCCACCAATAATAATCTTTCCCATAACACTGCCCTTAATTCTCAGCCATGAGTCTGACTCCTAGACCACTTTTTTGCATGCTTTTGATCAGTCCAGTCATTTGGTTGTGGTATGTGCCTCAGGATTAACTAGATTTTAAATTTTCCAATGTGAAGAGCTTAAAACAACACAGGTGGTGTGATAATCAGTTCATAGTTAGGCCCTCCAAAAACACTGAGTATAACAAGAGCAAACAATTAAATCGATGGGTTTCTATTGGTTAGAAATTCAATATTGTAGTGGAGAAGGCTGATGGGACCACCTCTGTGGAGAAGTGTGATCAAGCAAGTGATCACAGGGAACATCACCATTAACAAGACAAACTGACATCACAAGCCTTCAGATGGGGCAGCGGGAAGGGAACAGTTGATGTGTGACTGGAATCAAATTACGAGTGGTCAGTAGATGATAAATCCAAATTGAGGGACGTAAAATAACAAGCCTATGCTTTTCCAAATGCTTTATTTTTAAAGTTGAAGACTGGACACTGGTGGCTCATGCCTGCAATCCTAGCTATTCAGAAGGTGGAGATCAGGATGACTGTAATTCAAGGTTCATCTGGGCAAACGGTTTGTGAGAGTTCATCCCAATCAATAAAAAGGTGGGTGTAGTAGTGTGCACCTGTCACCCAGCTATGGTGTGAAGTGTAAATAGGATGACTACAATCCAGGCCAGCCTAGGAAAAGCAAGACCCCCATCTCAAAAATAACCTGAATAATTGGGCCCTGGTGACTCACACCTAGAATCTTAGCTACTCAAGAGGCTGAGATCTGAGGATCAAGGTTTGAAGCCAGCCTAGGCACAAAAACCCATGGGATTCTCACCTCCAATTAATCAGCAAAAAGCTGGCAGGGGAGTAGTGGCTCAAATAGTATAGTAGCAACCTTGTTAAAAAAAAAGCTGGGGCTGGGAAGGTGGCTCAGTGGTAGAGCGCTTGCATTGCATGCATGAGGCCCTGGGTTCAATTCCTCAGCACCACATAAGCAAAAAGAAAAAAGCTGGAAGTGGCACTGTGGCTCGAGGGGTAGAATGCTCGCCTTGAGCTGCAGAGCTGAGGGACAGCACCCAGGCCCAGAGTTCAGGCCCCATGATCGGACCCAAAAAAAAAAAGCTAACAGACAGCACCCAGGCCTTGAGTGCAATCCCCAATACTGAGAAAAACAATCAGAGCAAAAAGAACTGGAGGCATGGCTCAAGTGGCACAAAGCCATAAATTCAAACACTAGTGCCTCCAAAAAAAGTTGAACAATTGTTTTGATTCAGATTCTTGATTAACTATTAGACCCTAGATCAGAAAAAAACATATAGATGAAAGGAGGAAAGAAGAAAAAGAGGGGAAAACGAGGGGAACAGAAAGGAAGAGGGGACAAGACACCCAGAAAAATTGCCTAGTAAATGTCAAAAACTCTGCATATTAGATGATAATACTGTATCACATTAATCTTACCCATTCTTTCTTTCTTTCCTTCCTTCCTTCCTTTCTTCCTTCCTTCC